CTACCTTTTGAGTGGATATGTACTTCCTGTATCTATCGTTTGTGTGTGTATGCACTTCCTGTATCTACCTTTCCGGTGTGTATGTATTTCCTGCATCTTCCATTTGTGTGTGTGTGTACTTCCTGTATCTACCTCTCCGGTGTGTATGCACTTTCAATATCTATCTCACCGGTGTGTATGTACTTCCTGTATCTACTTTTGGGTGTGTATGTACTTCCTGTATCTATCTTTGGCTGTGTTATGGGTGTGCATGTACTTCGTTTATCTATCTTTTGGGTGGATATGTACTTTCTGTATCTTCCTTTTGGATGGTAATGTACTTCCTGCATCTACCTCTTGATTGTGTATGTACTTCCTGTATTTATCTTTGGGTGGGCATGTTTTTCCTTTATCTACCTCCCCGGTGTGTGTATGCACTTCCTGAATCTACCAATCTGGGTGTGTATGCACTACCCTCAATCTACCTTTGCGTGTGTTTGTATTTCCTGCATCTACCTCTCCTTTGTGTATGCACTTCCAATATCTATCTCACCGGTGTGTATGTACTTCCTGTATCTACCTTTGGGTGTGTGCATTTACTTCCTGTATCTATCTTTGGCTGTGTTATGGGTGTGCATGTACTTCGTTTATCTATGTTTTGGGTGGATATGTACTTTCTGTATCTATCTTTTGGATGGTAATGTACTTCCTGCATCTACCTCTTGGGTGTGTATGTACTTCCTGTATTTATCTTTGTGTGGGCATGTTCTTCCTTTATCTACCTCCCCGGTGTGTGTGCACTTCCTGAATCTACCAATCCGGTGTGTATGCACTACCTCAATCTACCTTTTGGGTGTGTATGTTCTTCCTGTATCTACATTCCTGTTGTGTGTGTACACTTCCAGTATCTACCTTACCGGTGTGTATTTACTTCCTGTATCTGTCTTTTTTGGGTTGGTATGTAGATCCTGTATCTATCTTTTGAGACTATATCTACTTCCTGTATCTACCTCTCTCGGTGTGTGTATGCACTTCCAGTATCCACCTCACCGGTGTGTATGTACTTCCTGTATCTACCTTTGGGTGTGTATGTACTCCCTGCATCTACCTTTGAGTCGATATGTACTTCCTGTATTTATCTTTTTGGGTGGGTATGTACTTCCTGTATCTACGTTTTGGGTGTGCATGTACTTCCTGTATCTATCTTTTGGGTGGATATGTACTTCCTGTATCTACCTTTTGGATGGGTATGTACTTCCTGTATCTACCTCTTGGGTGTGTATGTACTTCCTGTATCTATCTTTGGGTGTGCATGTACTTCCTGTTTCCACCTTTGGATGTGCTTGTACTTCCTGCATCTACTTTTATGCGTATATTTCCTGTATCTACCGTTTTCATGTGTATGTCTACTTCCTGTATCTACCTTTTGGGTGTGTATGTACTACTTCCTGTATCTACCTTTTGGGTGTGCATGTACTTCCTGTATCTGTCTTTTTGAAGGGTATGTACATCCTGCATCTACCTTTGAGTGAGCATGTACTTCCTTTATCTACCTCCCCGGTGTGTATGCACTTCCTGAATCTACCAATCCGGTGTGTATGCACTTCCTGCATCTACCATTTGCGTGTGTATGTACTTCTTGTATGTACCTTTGGGTGTGTATGTACCTGTTGCATCTTCCATTTGGATGTACCCTTCTTGGATGTATCTTTTGTATCTACCTGTGTTGTACTTCCTGCATCTATTTTTTCGGTGAGCATGTACTTTTGTATCTACCTTTTGTGTATGCTTGTACTTCCTATATCTGCTTTTTGGGTGTGTATGTACTTCCTGTATCTTCCTTTGGATGTGCATGTACGTCCTGTATCTACCTTTGGGTGGGTATATACTTCCTGTATCTACTTCTACGGTGTGTATGCACTTCCTGTATCTACCTCTCCGGTGTGTATGTACTTCCTGTATCTAACTTTTGGGTGTGTATCTTCTCCTGTATCTACCTTTGGGTGTGTATGTACTTCCTGTATCTACCTCTCTCCGGTGTGTATGCACTTCCAGTATCTACCTTACCGGTGTGTATGTACTTCCTGTATCTATCTTTTCAGTGGGTATGTACTTCCTGTATCTATCTTTTGGGTGTGTATGTACTTCCTGTATCTACTTTTGGTGTGTGTATGTACTTCCTGTATCTATCTTTTGGCTGTGTTTCTAATTCCTTCATCTACCTTTCCGGTGTGTGTCCACTTCCAGTATCTACCTTACCGTGTGTATGTACTTCCTGTATCTATCTTTTGGGTGGGTATGTACATCCTGTATCTATCTTTTGGGTGTATATCTACTTCCTGTATCTACCTCTCTGGAGTGTATGCACTTCCAGTATGAACCTCACTGGTGTGTATGCACTTCCTGTATCTACGTCTCCGGTGTGTATGCACTTCCTGTATCTGCCTCTCCAGTGTGTATGCACTACCTGCATCTACCTTTTGCGTGTGTATGTACTTCCTGTATCTACCTTTTGGTTGTGTATGTACTTCCTGTATCTACCATTTACGTGTGCGTGGACTTCCTGTATCTACCTCTCCGGTGTGTATGCACTTCCAGTATCTACCTCCCCGGTGTGTATGTTCTTCCTGTATCTACGTTTTTGGTTTGCATGTACTTCCTGTATCTACCTTTGGAGTCTGTATGTACTTCCTGTATCTATCTTTTGGGTGAGTATGTACTTCCTGTATTTACGTTTTGGGTGTGCATGTACTTCCTGTTATCTATCACTTGGGTGGATATGTACTTTTGTATCTACCTTTTTTGGATGGGTATGTACTTCCTGGATCTACCTCTTGATTGGGTATGTACTTCCTGTATCTATCTTTTGGGTGTGTATGTACTTCCTGTATCTACCTCTCCGGTGTGTATGTACTTCCTGTATCTACCTTTTGGATGCGCATGTACTTCCTGTATCTGTCTTTTTGAAGGGTATGTACTTCTGTATCTACCTTTTGCTAGTGTATGTACTTCCTGTATCTACCTTTTGGATGTGTATGTACTTCCTGCATCTTCCATTTGGTGTGTACCCTTCCTGGATGTACCTTTTGCGTGTGCTTGTGTACTTCCTATATCGGCTTTTAGGTGTGTATGTACTTCCTGTATCTACCTTTTGCATGTGCATGTACTTCCTGTATGTACCTTTTGGGTGGGTATATACTTCCTGTATCTACTTCTACGGTGTGTATGCACTTCCTGTATCTACCTCTCCGGTGTGTATGTACTTCCTGTATCTATCTTTTGGGTGTGTATCTACTTCCTGTATCTACCTTTTGGGTGTGTATGTACTTTCTGCATCTACCTCTCCGGTGTGTATGTACTTCCAGTATCTACCTAACCGGTGTGTATGAACTTCCTGTATCTATTTTTTCAGTGTGTATGTACTTCCTGTATCTATCTTTTGGGTGTGTATCTACTTCCTGTATCTACTTTTTGGTGTGTATGTACTTCCTGTATCTACCTCTCCGGTGTGTATGCACTTCCAGTATCTACCTTATCGGTGTGTATGTATACTTCCTCTCTCTATCTTTTCAGTGTGTATGTACTTCCTGTATCTATCTCTCTGGTGGGTATGCACTTCCTGTATCTACCTCTCCGATGGGTAAGCACTTCCTGTATCTACCTCACCGGTGTGTATGTACTTCCTGTATCTACCTTTTGGGTGTGCATGTACTTCCTGTATCTATCTTTTTTGGGTGTGTAGGGACTTCCTGTATCTACCTCTCCGTTGTGTATGCACTTCCAGTATCTTCCTTACCGGTGGGTATGTACTTCCTGCATCTACCTCTTGATTGTGTATGTACTTCCTGTATCTATCTTTTGAGTGTGTATGTACTTCCTGTACCTACCTCTCCCTTGTGTATGCACTTCCAGTATCTACCTTACCGGTGGGTATGTACTTCCTGCATCTACCTCTTGATTGTGTATGTACTTCCTGTATCTATGTTTTGGGTGTGTATGTACTTCCTGCATCTACCACTTGATTGTGTATGTACTTCCTGCATCTACCTTTTGAGTTTGCATGTACTTCCTGTATCTACCTTTTGGATGTGCATGTACTTCCTGCCTCTACTTATTGCGTCTTGTTCCTGTATCTACCGTGTTCATGTGTATGTACTTCCTGGATGTACCTTGTGTGGTGTGTATGTACTTCCTGTATCTACATTTGGGTGCGCATGTACTTCCTGTATCCGTCTTTTGAAGAGTATGCACTACCTGCATCTACCTTTTGCGTGTGTGTACTTCCAGTATCTACCTTTTGAGTGGGTATGTACTTCCTGTATCTACAATTTGCGTGTATGTGTACTTACTGTATCTACCTCTCCGGTGTGTATGCACTTCCTGTATCTACCTTTTGGTGTGTATGTACTTCCTGTATCTACCTTTTGAGTGGGTATGTACTTCCTGCATCTACAATTTGCGTGTATGTGTACTTTACTGTATCTACCTCTCCGGTGTGTATGCACTTCCTGTATCTACCTTTTGCGGTGTGTAAGTACTTCCTGTATCTACCTTTTGGGTGTGTATCAACTTCCTGTATTTAACGTTTGGGTGTGTATGTACTTCTTGTATCTACATCTCTGTTGTTCATGCACGTCCTGTATCTAATTTGACTTTTAATAAACATCCGATTGGATGCAGAATTCGTTTCATTAACGATTGTGGTTTCTAAGGAATTTTATGAAGTACAGAGTTGAGGATCCCGTAATTTAGAAGTATGGATTTGATTTTATGGTCCAATAAATTGGACATGTACAGAAATAATCATCAGTACCCTCGCATATGGAACCGCTGGAAGAAGACGGGCTCCAGAGATGTGTCTATCTCACTCATGGATAATCAATTCTCTACATTCTTGTCTGGGTGATTTATTTGACACATTCTCGATTCTGACTCCAGGACAAAATACGTTTTCTAATCATCGATGGAAATAACTCGTTCAAACGATCCTATGGTACCCGCTTTTATTAAATCTGAGGATAAATTGTTCCATGAATTATTTATTTCACAGTCACATTGACATACATTTAAGAAATGATAATTAAATGATTTTCAATACCATGTTAATCACAAAATACACAAATTAGTGTATGAAATAAGCCAAAAAAGCCAGCCAGACATCCGTGCTGGTAACTTCAAAATGTTACCAGCCCGAAGTGGATTTAACCAGACCAGACAATTTGGTCTCAAGTTTTAGTTTCTAATGAATAATGTAATGAATCTGAGACACGTATTTACTCCGCGCATCGATAGGTGTCGCTGTTTTAACGATAATATATGTTAACGCAGTGCTTTCAGCTTGCGATACGATAGTTCAATGTTCAAACAGTAATTGCCAGGTCTAAATGTAACGCTCAATTTAAAAATAGATCTTAAGATATGGTGAATTTACTCAGATGTATGGAACATGATATCTAAACTATTTACCAGACCATCGGGCTGGCTAGCTGTAAATTTAGACTGTCCGTCAGAAATCTAGCCCGTCTCGGACGGTCGGATGGGCCTTATTTCATACACTACTGAGTGAGTGATACATGCGTTGTTTTAATTAAAAATAATGCTTATCTTGTCCACATTTTTACCCTACAATATAACTGACTTTTGTTTAATTTTACTAACTTTAATATTTACTTTGTGGCGAACAAAAGAAAATGTCACATTGATTAGAACATGTATTTCAATATATCTCGAGCCAATGTTGTGGCGATTCTTGCACAATTGAATAAACGTTCTTCAAGACCGACATGGCACTGTGACACGCATCCCACTTGGCTTATGTAACATTATCCTTTGACACTATGTAGATAGGTCATGTTTAAGTGTTGTCACAAATCTCTTTTTGTACGAAGTAGGTGGTACATTTTACTATACTATAATAAGTAATATTTCCCTAATATCACCCCTGTAGAGAACGATAAGAAAATAATAAAATAATTTCAGTCTTTATGTAACAAAATGCTCTCACCAAACACTGAAACATGTAATATACTCCCAGAAACATAAATACCGAAGGAGCTGGATGTCAAGGATTTGTTTCATTGCATCGTGATCACCGGATTCAATCCGCACTGAAAACATTTAAGGTTAGCTTATAGGGAGACGTCCTCACTGAAATCAGAACAGGAATCAGCTGCGCCGGTTGATGAGCGGCTGTCGAATCATCTCAAATAACGTCATAACGACATTTGGGAGTCAGGGCGTCCATTAGTGCTAGTGGTGGGTATATTCGCTACTGAGGATGTCAGACGTGAGCAACTCAACCTATGGCAATGCCTACAAAACTCAGTTCATCATTGTGTGCTTGGAAATTGGGGATTTCTTCTAGGACGTCATCTGTCATCGTTGTGAGATACCAATTATCGAAACTGCCCGTAGAACCATCTACATGTATTGTACCTGTGCCTGTATTGCTGAACAATGTTTGTATTTTCAGCCCCAAAAGGCATACATCGATACTTTCTATTCCCGACATTTTTTATACAAAATCCCTCTCAGAGGTACGTTCATTTGCTTGACTTAGATTCCAAATTAAACGTTTCTGGACTGGAGAACGTTGCTGCAGGAATGATAGCGTCCTCAGGTCTCTGACTCATGGTCCACGCCTTGTTGCTGGCGTCCGGCTGTCTTTTGATAGCGGATGTCCTCCAAACAATTCCGCATATTGCGCCTACTATGATAAGTAGCAGGCAAACACCACCTACGGAAGATCCAATAATAACCCCCTGTCTTCCGGTGCTTGTGGTGTCTGGCAATTCTGGAAATAGGTATTTACACGTAAAAGGCAAACATTCATCATATTTAGAGTTACCACACTAATGGGTTAATAGTTACAAAGTTACATGCGCATATGTTCTCCAGTTGAAAACAGTCATATCGAATTATTAAATGTCAGCTTCAGCTAGATGTATGTCGGACCTGTTTCATATTTATGAATTTGGTTACCTATGTGTACACTTACCAGTATTATACCTGTACTTAGCATATAAGATCCTGAAACCTCTGTCGACTGTATGGGAATTCGACTTGAATTTCAGGAACATCACAGAGCTTGAAGCCATTATGCGTGGTTCACTGCTTCCACACCAGCGTCCTAGAGAGGGGGCACTGGAGTCTGCGCCTACATGAAATACAATCACCCATTAACGTTATGGTCAATTGCACTGTTCTTGAGGATTCGAATCCCCCAAACCTACTGCAAGATGTATTCATCATTGACAACAGACACAGTCACAGGCTATCAACCTGTTCAAGACTATAAGGCCGATGGTAATAGTTGATAAAAACGTGCCTTAGATATAACATATGCTATATTTGGGATTACACTTTCTTTGTAAAGTACAGATTCTAGTACTTTTGTTGGGTTGAGTCCCATCCGGGATGCGAACCCACACCCTCAGAGTCAGGCACCTAATCGCCAGCACACAAAGTCAGACGCCTACAGATTCTAGTACTTTTGTTGGGTTGGTATAACAAAACAAACAAAAGTACTAGAATCTGTACTTTACAAAAAAAGTGTAATCCCAAATATAACATATGTTACATTGGGCCACTTTCTAAATGGCATTGTGTATTTCGTGCCTTAGATAATCATAAATAAACAGTTTGGCCATTCCAGAAAAATGAAACACAGTATACCCAGAAACAAACCACAGACTCTCGTGTCTTTGCGAAGATTACAGTTTAAAAAAAATTATTTTTAAATGAGCCCCGACTGGAAATGCTATATTATACTGTGTTGAACTCAAAAATACATTTTCAACCGTAATTCTCGCAAAAACACGAGGGCCTGTGAAACAAACACCTTACTTTAACCCTTGAAGTGGATAAAGTGGACAAGTTTCGCCTGTCTGAACCCGGTCATCCATGTCATTAAGAGATATCCACAACCGTATTAAATACACAGGTTGCATTTGCAAATGAAACTTACCAACCAACACCCCTTCCACACACACACACACACACATACACAAGAGTAATATCATCATCACCGCACATGAAACATTTCGGGACTCATGGATTGTTAGTCAAATAGATGTGATTAGTAATCAAACCATCAAACGCTTCCATGTAGTCACGTTGACAACCATCAGATTTCTCCAGGCTTGAGAAGACAACTCCGATACCAACGTGATAACCTTCATCTCCCTCAATCGTCCATGTTGACTCGAAATTACTTGAATGAAGTAAGGCAAGTTAGGTCAATGCAGTCCTCACCAAATTAAACTTGTTCAGAAATAGATTTTCATGGATATAAGACTTCACAAAATTAGACATCCTGGATGTCATTTTCTAAATTCGATGGCAATAAACAATAAGCACTAATTTTGATGATAAATGTTATTCGTTTTCTCGTTTCTCTGATGAAGCCACACATGTAAATGTGCTCTGTAAGAAGGAATCATGTACATGTATTGTGATGTTGCTTGCCATTGCGATTGGTATAGAACATTGGAGATTTACAATTGTATTCTTCTTCCTTCTTCTATGTTTTGAGCTCATTCAGTGACGTACTAACTCGGATACCTACCTCGGGTAACTGAATGGATAATTTGGGGAAGTAAAGTATTTATAAGATCTGCTAGCTGAAAGACTTGTCTTCCGTGAAGCTGAAACATAAAAACGTACATTCATGCTGTATGTTATCTGTGATCAGTATCCAGTTGAAAGCGTAATTATACTGAGGGTAAGAAATGTAAGATTTTCATATAATGTTTGGATTGCACTGCAGGTGAAAATCTGAGAATATACAGAAGGACATTTCGATGATGTGATGTTCCCTTATTTGTTTCCCTCGGTATAATTATGTTTCCACATGGTTGCACAGAAAACCATTGATATTTGGCGTCAGAGCATATAATTTGTTACCTGCATTCAATTCACCAGACGCATCTTTTCATAGCAGCCACCTAGACCTGCGCTTCGAATGTTTCTCAAGGTCATACGCTAATATCGACACAATGTAAATGGAGGAAGCCAACTGGTTTAATACTTAGCAATTCACCATACAGAGATGCGTCTTTTAACTGTCAGGACCTGCCCCTCTTGAATTCGAGTCCCACATTGCCCTGATTATGATATTCCTGGTTTGTAATCAACATCTTAAGCTCCTTAAATTCTGAAGTTGTAATCTTTTCTGTTTTCGCCATCCCTCAGAATCTGACTTAAAATACTGTTCAAAGTATTGCCAAACCTAACTCATTCACTAACTCATGGCATTGAACATTGACATACCATTAAAGTGACCCGCCTTAAGAATCATTGTTAACATTCCACCGACGGATACGTTGAACTGGAACCTGGCGGTGATGACATTTCCGGAGCTGATGAAGTCGGCGTTGGAGTCACCACACCATTTCCCGTGGGTTGTTGAAGTACCGTTGTCGTAATTACCTGAATACAGGTAAACAGAGGTAAGTTTGCCAACTCCAACTTCGTTTACAGTTACAGAACACAAACACACCATTATCTTGTGGAAACTGACATGTGGTTTTATGGTACCTCTCGTCAGTGTATGGAATATCTTTTATCAACTGCATATCCCTGTCTCGATAGTTACTAACTTAAACAAAGTTAACGTACATAAACGTACATATTCAGTCAGCTATCAGAATTAAAACATTAGTAACAGTCTCCATATTTGTTTTCTTGAGTAAACCTGCTTGTCAATTATACAAAGGCGGGCTGTAGATAATGGAAGTAGTATCAGACAAATCAGTGATCCATTAGGTCGGCTGGTATGAATAGGACATTTTTGCTGGGGACGAACTGTAAACTCTTGTCGGCAAAATCAGTTTGAAAGAAATAGGTATACATGAAATATGTATCTTACCATCGTAAATTTCCAGGTAATTGACGTTGCATGATGAAGAAGTAAAATATATTATAGCATCCACATTAACCTTGATGGTCGTATTTGTCGGGGCATGTATGGTCCAAAGGCAGTCTTTGGAAATGCATCTATAAAACATTCAACAGTATATTGTTCACGCGCATAACTATAGAGTGACATAAGAATATGTTACAATGCTAAGCTGACAATATGTGTCAATATGCGAAACTTATTTCTATAAAACGTCATATGTCCGCTGCGAAACTGACTCTGATTAGTTTTAACATTAATCAATGTGTATCAGGACAACTTCCATTTCGTTGCCTGCCCCCAAAGCCAGTTTCTGGAACTGCATATAAAAACAACACCAGCAATATGTTCACGCCCATAACTGTTTAGGGATCAGGACAAGACAAGACAAGACAAGTGTTTATTTGCTTCAAAGACTTGGACTAACCGTCCCTCGTCTGTTTTCTACAAAGATTTACATTTGTGCCAGACAATGGAGGCTGGACTTATTATTTATACAAACACAGTTTAATATACTTAGCCAAATACATGTACAACAATGCAAAATTCAGATTTGCACTGCAACAGCTCTATTAATTTAGATTCATTTGGAGGTTCCCAGTAATATTTATCCATATATTTTACTCTGTTTGTATGGTGATTTGGACACACAAGCAAGAAATGGTATTCGTCCTCTATGACATGTGTACCAGATGACAGACAAAATTCACAAATCTCAAATTTCTATCTATGTTTTTTGTAAGGTCCTATTTCAATTTGTAGCTTATGGCATGATATTCTAATCTTTGTTAGATAGCATCGTAGATTCTGTGGAATCAAATTAAGATAAGAGTTATATTCAAACACCTGTTTAACTTTCGAATACAATATAAGTTTACTACTCTTATCGAACTCACTTCGCCATTTCTGCATATAATTATCATTCATGCGTTGTTTAAATGAGGCTACAAATGAAATGCAGTCAACAGAATAGGTTCTAGCCAAACATATGCATAACCATTTTTACAGAACAATTCCTTCACTGAGTAACACGAATTCTTTTACACCTTTTTCACAATAGAATTATTATATGTTATATGCAGCTTTCAGGACCATGGTTTCAGTGTATAACAATTTAAACCAGTAACGTAAAGCTCTACAATATCTATTTACGTACAATGGTATTCTACCAAGTTCACTGTAAACTGCTGCATTTGATGCTTTAGGATATACATGTAGTATTTTCTTACAAAACCTAAGATCTATCGTTTTCGATTTCCGGTGCATAATTTAAGCCCCATATCTCACAACCATAGCTAAGGGTACTCGTTACGAAAGAATCAAAGAGTTGACAAAATGTTTTGGGTGAGAAAACTCCACGCCTTAAAGGTCACATGCAACCAAAAAAATCAAACATAATTAAAACACAATTATCACTTATTCATGACATATAATATACATTGCTGGTTATGAAAAAACATCAAAAGTGCAATATTTTGTACTTGGGTTTACTTCCCAAGAAACGACGCAGCCGGGATACCGAACCCAGTCAGAGCGGGTGGGTGTGCACTCAAGTGTAACGGCTGGTTCATTTGCAGGTGCCCTCACGGCTCATTGTGTGTGTATATATAGAGATGTTGGGTTTTGTAAATACATGCTCATTTTTTTGTTTATAACATTTTGCAATCAACAGACATCATAACATGTCATGTGTACAAGTATCACACCTGCCTGTCTGTGTAATTACATAATGTGACAGAGACCGAACTCGGGCCATAAATCAATGCGTTTTGTTTATGGTGTATAGCCTGATAGGTGTTAAGTTCAAATTGCATGTGGTCAGTGATTGAAATTGTGTATTGAATATTGTCATTAGCAGACGGGCAGGCAGACACATAGGTGTCAATAAAACAGACTTTGAGTTTTGTCTGTGACAACGACATATCTATACTGAAAGCCATTAAAAACGCAATTGGTATTTGTTGTCCTGAAACTTACAAAAGTTCTATTGAAGATTTTTTCCTGCGATACAGAGGATGTAGGGATAAAAGGCTGTTATTCTGGCCCATTTCGAGTTCGAATCCCGGAGCATTCCTCTCACATGAACTTTGATACTTAAAACTGAACCTTTGACATTTCTCGTAAACACAACCACATTCATGAAACACGTTGTGCTCATGCATTACCTGCACCCAGGCCCTGTAAAAGCACAAGGAATTGTAGAACTCAATCACTTTGAGAAAATGCCACACTTGACACAAGGCGAAAGGAATCAGGTTATCGGTATGGTCGATGATTAGGACAATTGGGAACAAGTCAACGTCATTTCAGCGCCCAAAAGGTGCAAGGACGCCTTGCTGCCTTCAACATCCGGTGTCGTCACCCGTACCGTGGTCCAACCTTATTGCATCGCCGCAGACTTGCCAGACAGCGATGGGCAGTAAATGGGGCCAATCTTGGCAACAGGACATGACCAGATGTCATTTTTTCAGATGAATCCAGGTTTAACTTATCCTTTGCAGATGGACGTCAACAGATTTATCGACGTAAAGGAGAAAGACTTGCGCCAAACTGTGTTCTTGAACATGATCGTTTTGGAGGGGGTGGTGTCATGATCAGACCACAGACCATCAGAGGCTGCAGACCATCCAACAGCTGTTCCTTAGAAATGTGTGTCTTTCAATGCCCCAACGACTGCGAGCATGTCTTGCAGCGCACGGTGGACACACCCGATATTGACTGCAAGTTACCCCTCCTTTGTGTGATTTCGTTGTTGCGTCACTGATGTTGTTGTTGACTGGACATTTTCAGATGAAATTATTCACAGATGTTCACTTAAAACATATCTGCCAGTTAGGTTTATATATGTTGAAATTAGTGTGAGTAAAGAAAGTATGAATGTCAAATTGCATTTTTAATGGCTTTCAGTATATATCACAGTTAGAAATTCTTTCGACGCTAAATAATGACATTGCTTTTAAGTATCGAACTGAGAAAAACTCGTGGTGAAATAGACAAATTAAATTATATAAACAGTTAAATCGGTAATTTACTGTAATAACATATAAAAAGCTCGCGCCTGTGAAATATCAACAAAACATTAGAAAAATAGCTCACACCAAAGTCTTCACCGAATATTCACCGGACAACCCGCTTCCAAGCTCCGCGAACCTATTTCACTGCGCATGTGCTATGAGCGCAGCCCAGCTGTTGAAACCACTTCAATTCCCCCAAGCGCTGGGGGAAAATTAGTGAATCGTTTGAACTACGATTTCGCGCGGGGTTTTTCATCACGTTATTTTTCAACTTTATAAGTTGAATTTGCATTTTTGATGATTTGTTTCGGTAAGTCCATACCGAAAGGTATCAGAATCTGCAAAGTTGTGTTTTACGTTGCATGTGACCTTTAAGTGAGAAGACAAAACATTCATAGACTTCAGGCCCTTCCCTGCAAGAGTTTTCTGAACAAATGTAAAAGATCCAGAGTAAGAAATATGATAACCGAGATAGTTAAAATGATCCACAATTTCCAAGTCCTGACCTTTAATCGTCCAAAACTCATTATCTCTTATTTTACCCTTGCGCGAAACCCGTAACATTAGTCTTACTTATATTGACATGCAAACCCCACTCTGCACAATACTCTTGCAAGCAATTTATATGACACTGTAATCCTTCGGGAGTTTCAAAGACAACAACCATATCATCAGCAAATAAAATGAGAAACAGATTAACAAAGTCAACAGTAATACCGTGCTCGGTATTTGCCTTAAGTTTATCATCAAGATCTTCCAAAAAGAAAGAAAACAAAATAGGTGACATAACCTCGCCCTGTTTGATGCCTGCTCCAATACTCAGGAACTCAGATAGTGTAGAGTTAGCCTTGACACACGACTTTCCCTCGGAATACATAGATTTAATAATCAACCGCATTTTACCTTTCACGCCTTTTTGAAATAGCTTACATAACATTCCATTTCTATATATGCACTATCAAATGCCTTCGAAAGTAAAATCTTTTCTTCTCTGAGATAAACTTTCTGATGAGTGTACTAAGTATAAACATTGCATCAACTGTAGAGTGAGCCCCCTTTAAAACCAAACTGAACATCCGATATAATCTTATTATTCTGAGCCCAAACATTTAAACGATTTGTCAACACAGCCCTGAAGAGCTTCGAAAAACAACTATTTAATGTGACACCTCTGTAGTTTCTAACATCACTTGTATAACCCTTCTTGTGAATAGGAATATTACTCCTCTAGTCCAAGATAAAGGATATACACCTGAACTGACTCATTAGTCCATCACTTTCTATTTCTGTAGAGGGCGTTCTTATGTGAAAGATGTCATTATTTTTAATGTGTCAAGTGAACCCGACGATTCAATATATTCCATTAGGTCGAAACTCAATTGAGTAAGTGAGTTTAGTTCTACGCCGCAGTTAACAATATTCCAGCTATATGGCGGCGGTCTGTAAATAATCGACTCTGGACCAGACAATACAGTGATCAACGCCATGAGCATCGATCTAAGCATTAGGGAACCGATGACATGTGTCAACCAAGTCAGCGAGCCTGACCACCTGATCCCGGTAGTCACCTCTTACGGCAAGCATGGTTTACTGAAGATCAAAACTCAATCACTATATAATGGGAACAATATTTTCACGCAAACATAACGTCACATTTACAATATGAGTTTATAATTATTTAAGGTATAAGAACAAATTATTATTACATGTCTTTACCCTTCATATGACGCTGTCAGAGTTCTTTCCCTATCCGTCGTGATATCGACTGCACCTCCACAGCTCCACGGCTCTGAAAGGAATTAACAATACAATATCCATTTGATATATTTGAGTAAAGATTCTTAAGTGTACACCAGTGCTATGACTCATATTATATGTTTAATCATTTCATTTTCTTCCATTTCCAAGTATGAATTCTCAGAATAAACACACTCACCATTCGTCGCAAAATATTTCACTTTGATGCCTGTCATATTATGCGCATCGCGCGCTCTGAATCTAACTGTTATGTCCGGTCCAGTACTCTGCAGACTCGGCAATGTCTTGCCGCACCAAGAGAGGAGAAACTTATCAAACATCGAAGGACCTGCAAAACATTAAGACAGGTTGAAAATGAAAATGACTTTTCACTATAAAGACAGCTTTTACGCCGCTTTTAGCAATATTCCAGCAATTTCACGGCGGAGAACATCAGAAATGGGCTTCACACAGTGTATCCATGTGGGGAATCGAACCCGGGTCATCGGCGTGGCGAGCAAACGCTTTAACGCTTTTGGTAGATACAGGCGTTTAGTGTTAAACGCTTCTTTTGATGAAATGTGTCTTAATCGGTTATCACAACAGGTATGGATCACATAACACGCATGGCCATGTAACATTTCATGATTTATATTCGAAAAGGGGGCACCCATGTCCTGCTTTATTTGGATTTATGTTTTCTCATATAAATCTCAGGGTTTGAGTAAGGTTTAGCTACGAGGTAATTATTGAGTTCAGTAATTGGTATGGGAAGTAAGAAAACCCCAAATTGTTCACATTGTTCTACAAAGTCCGTGTACTAAATTAATGATGACAACGGATACCTACCATCGTAGAGAAGACCAAGATTTTGACCGCACTGTCTAATGAAAATAGGATCATTTGGAATATCTGAGTCAATTACGTCAATCCGAACCGTCATGTTTGGGTCTGAGGCCTTTATTATCCAAATACAATCGGCGTTGCTACAATAAAAAAGAGTAAACGAACCACTGTATTGCAGGGTAATATATAACGTCAGCACAAAGTACCTAGTAAGATTTCAGATGTATACTTAGGTTTACTTTTGTAAGACTGAGCAGTATGGTTGTGGTGCTGATAAAACAAGAATCAGGAAAATCACAGATTCATAACATTCTGGTACGCATGGAGGACTCTAAACTGTGGAGTCTAAGCCTTTAATGCTTCATGGGCAATGGAAATGTCCTTGAACATACTTCAAAATAAACATATATATATGTCAGTCTACATTTTTGAAAAGCATTACAAGAGAGTGCAAAATGATGGTCAACAAAAAAAGACACTTATCAAAGGTTATGTGCAGAAAATGCTAGTGTTAAAATAGTCACAGTTAATTTTGAACAGTTTTGATTTGTCAAAGCATAATGGAGTTTGCAGAATAATGTGTGTATTAATTACTTTGTAAAATGAAAAGGTAACGAAATCTGAACTTACCTTGGAGAAAGCACAGGATATCCTGGGGAGCTGAGGAATTCTGGATATGCGGTTGCAGTGAGATATCTGCGTCCACAATTCTCTGATTGGTCAGGTACCACTGAAACATTAATACAAGTCCAAACATGTGACTTGAATATCTCGCTGAAACTATAGAATGCTATGAATATAACGGAGTCCTTAAATTGTACATGAATATTTCAAATTTACTATTACTGTTCTTTCAACGCTAACAAAGAAGAAAGCACCCAGACAGAAAGTGATGTATATGAAAGAAAATACATCCCTGGTGTTGGGGAATATGTTAAAAAAAGAAGGTAAATGTTAAGTACTTTGATTGTGACATCCAAACATTTTGTACATGTTGCCACAAAACACATGTAGCCTTTTAAAGTGCTGTGAGTGGACTATCATCACAATGCCCCGCTTATCAGCAGTGAAGAGAGAACAAGCAAATGAGGGCTATAAACAGCCATATTGCCATACTAATGATACGTATCAAAAAGACTGGCCAGTGATGTCTTCAACTTCAAATCCGTTGGACCACACTGATGAACCGACTGCGTGCTATGAGCATCCGGCCCCATCATGTCATGAACCCGTCAGCATCGAATCGTCTACGTAGGCTTGGAACATGAGGCGCAGGCAGCGTTGCATTTGGGTGCGATATGTGTCGTGTTTTGGCATTTGGCAACATGTACATAATGTTGCACTTGTAAGTCATAATCAATACACTTTACAAAATATATTATCGTTGTTATGCAAATTAATCCCAAAGCACAAGGTGTGAACTTTCTTGTGCATATCCGCGTATTAGTTGAATCGCGTCACTGTTGATGATACCTCTGAACTTACCTTGTCGTGTAGTATGAGAAACGACAACTTGGAATCCCGCCCCGCTGGTATCACTATTGGACTTGAATACCAGTTTCAGGTTCCTTCCGTTTGAATAGTAGGGACCAACCGGAGAAATTGATGAATTTCCACAAAATTTGCCAATAGGATGATAACTTCCATAATTCCCTAGGACCGACAGATTAAGATTCAGGAAACATTCTTAGTGAAAGTTATGAGGAACAAATCTATATGATATGGGAGAAATATACATTATATAATATTGGAGAAAAGGACTTCATACAAAACGTTGACATCAGTGAATATTTAATCAATTGCGGTTCTCTGCCGAAACAGATTCAATGCCGAAAATCTTATGAATGGATCACTAATAATCAGTGATGACACTAGGTATCAGTCAACATTCAGACACAGAAACAACAAACGTAACAAATGTGAAAGATCACGCTGTGACCCTTGTAATGAACCAGCTTTTCCAGTGGATGTAATATATGGCATACTCAGTGACCTACATATTATTATGTATATTAGGGATACATGTGAAAACCAGCCTGCCACATCCCTTATTAGGGTCCGTTTTTGGTGGCTTGTACAACCAGGGCCCGGTTTCACAAAGCGATCGTAGAGCTACGATTGTCGTAAGCCTTTGTTAAAGTATGGGAGTTACGATCATCTTAGCGCTACCATCGCTTTGTGAAACGACCCCAGATGTACAATGGACTGGTGTAATATTGTTCAGAAAAGTGTACAACACATCCTGGTCAACCATGAATAATTGCTCAACCATGAATAATACAATAATGTTAAATTCTACATGCATGTAAACAGTTTGTAACATTAAAATCATGATCACGTACATCCAAACACGGTTACAGAGTCATTATCGCACTGTGGGTAGTCTCCCTCTATGTCTGCATTAACGACATCAAGCTTCAAGTTTGGTGTGTCCATCAGGTCGAAGATGAATATGACACATTTCAGGTCACTGAAGCAATATAAATATAACTCAGAAGGAATGAAAGAGTGAATTCACATATACGAATATAGTGGAAATGCAACGATTTGAATAATTGTACCATATATGTACGTAGTCTTATACATGACATCATAATTCATATACTATCGTGATATTTTTACATGGGAAAACTGACTGTGCCTCAAAGAAAGATGTCTGAATCATATGCTTTTGCTTTTGAAAATAACAACATACCATTTGGTCATTCTTGTGATGAATGTATTGTTAACAAATTCATTGACACTTATTACAATTATCCTAATCCGCTCCCTTTCGATCAAGAAATATAAATTGAACCCTCGGACGCCAAATCTGCATGACAAAAATTACTCTCTGGTAACATCCATGTGAAAGTACACTATCTCGCTTCAACGTACCTGCCATAGGTATCAGGGTATCCAGGTGACTGGATATAAACAGGATCGTTACCTACGTAATATGTCCTGTTACAGTCGCTTTCTGTAACAAAGACACCTTCATGTTATCATCAGATCTCCTCATTTGAAGAGAAAAAAATGAAACTGACGGAGATGTCAAAATTCATAATTATTGTATCTGTTATAAAGATGGTTTAAGAATAAGGCATTGTGGATTTGATAAAAAAAAGAAATTGCTTTTGTTGACAGAATACTACCAGTACGATCATCTGTAGATTTGATAAATGTATTGATTTCTCAGTAACACATCCGTTTTACCAATGGTATATATACTGGTTCAGTTTAGGCTTTTGTCGCCTGAAATGTTATTATTTGAAAGATTTTAAACATTTAAGCGAATTCATTTACATTTCAGGAGGAAAACCACGTTACCGCTAATGTGTAGTTGTGGTAGGCTGGATAGGTGAAAAGTGGCAATAACCTCCGGTTCAACGTACCTGGTATTGCAGTATACTGCAACTGTACACCCTCACTGGTCAATTTCTCAAACACCACCGACAGTGTGTTACCCGAGCTGTAGTATGTCCGACCCACGGTTGAACATAATTCCCCAGGAAGTTGGCCAGCTGAAGTATGATGAGTTAGTTGTATATGCCTTCAGTGTCAATTTTAACACGTCAAAGTGAAAGAATAACCGGTTGTCCGACGAAATTTTACAAATTTCGCGTAAAAGAATCCTTTTAGCGTGATACAGGAATCTTACCAAATGTAATCAGTTTCCAAATGGTTTTGATTAATCTAGTGTGTATGTGATAACTACGTGTTCCTTGACGAAAGCTACAATGGACTCCTATGTACACTTGGTGGAATATATAAAATGTCAGTTTATTCTACACCACATCACCTTCTGTTGTGTTTCCGTCATAAACACGAACGACATCATGATTGCACTGAGTTGAAAAATCCCCAAATTCGCCTTCCTTTGTGAATATATTGGTCACTTTGACAGTCTCATTCTCGTTTTGCGCTGTTATAATCCATGTGCACTTTTGATTACTGAAACAAAAGTATAAGCCTTACATGTGTGGTCAGCAGATAAACTCAATAGTATAACTACATAGCAATGTATTACTGACTGTGGCATAACGAGAATAACACTAAGAATAATCACAAGAAATTGTTGCACACTATGCTAATCAGTAAAGATGTCATCGTTGACAATATGAAATTTGCCGTTAACTTTTACAGCCGTCAGGTAAATGGTGTCTTGACATTTGTGTATAGTTTCAATTAAAATTAATATATAATAGAAATTGTAACAAAACAGTGTGTTTGCCTTACGAAAAGTAGGAGTGGGTCAAATCAAGGGATGTTAAGTTTCCTTCCTCGGATGTTGCCGTTAAATTTCCGTCACATCCTGCAATGTTCATTGATGTGATTCTAAATATCATTGGATTACAAAGCCAGTGGAATGTTAAAGTTCGCCATTTATTGTAAAGGACATTGAAACTTTTATTACAGTATATTTCTATGTTCGCCTTTAACAGGTTTATCATAGAATGAGAAGGTATCCCTAAAATATTCGAGCCGTGAACCAATCTCACGAAAGCACTCGATGGTTTAAGGCCTCTGTTGCGCATAGTGCTACACCAGAAACACTCTTTTTCTCGCTAATATTTCTGTTTGTGGTATACTTACTTTCAACGTCAGTAACGTTCAGCAGAAAACCCATTCCACCAGTTGCAGGACCGGTAAGCAGGTGTACATCCATGGTGGGTCCATTGCTTATGATACTGCCTATTTTCGGTATACTCCCACAAAGCCGCAGCAGCATTTTACTTGAACTATCTGATCCTTGTCATAAAATAGCATTGCAGTTAGACCAACTCACTCATGTATATTCTCAGCCATCACTATATTTGCATTTGTTCGAGAGATTATACTGTATAAAATCTTGTAGGCGATCCAACACATATAAAAAAACACATTGTTAGGATATGATCTCAAAAGCTTATAAAAACGAAAAGAAACCAGGAGAGCTTGTTTCTATGCGATAACATGTATCAAAGTTCCACATTCAAACAGAATGTGTCCGTCATAGTGCATCGTCTCTGGAAAAGTGCTTTTCTGCGTTCAACCATCATCGATCATGACAAAAAACATGACAATTTGTTGCGACACAATCAAACTATTGGAGGATGAACATTGGGGGCGTCTGTTCAATGTTTAGACTAATGAGGGATTTCATCATGAACATGCGGGACCATTCTTCAAGGTACATTATTCTGAGTTTTGTTGTCAACACTGTTATGCGTGAGCTGAATGGCAATATGTCGTTATAACATCTATTGTTACTTGTGAACTGTCTGTCCATCTAGAGTTGTTGAGATCATACTGATAGCCAAGAAGTTGAAGGGTTGTTTTTGTCACGTCGAATATCCGAGTTCTGTTTTCCACAAAAGTGCAATGTGTGAAGGCCATTTTGGATATCATGGGTAGTGGCACTATTGCTGGTAAACATTCCCCACTCACTCATTCATATCATAAACGTGCATTCCACTTGAGCAGTGGTCTGACCTAACTTTTAAGTGAAGTCAACTAATGAATATTTTGTCAGACATTTTGGATTTTCTTGACTTTGTCTTGGAAGAGTAAGGAATGTATTTTAGATGTTAACGTAAAATTCAATCGACCTTATTTAATAGATAACATGATAGAATCCAGAATATATATGCTCTGGTCCACGTTTATCCTACATTTGTTAACGTCTCTTCTGTGTAGACCTTTGATACACGACTAACCTTGACAGAATAAATGGATACTTATTGCTGTTTGGTTTCTGGTGACATTGATTTTTCTCGAAAACAATAATATAAATATGATCACACAAGACCTCTTATCATATTGTATCAGATTATTAGTCTACCTCCCACATGGATCAGTCCCTGTCCCTTTTGAAAACTCATTACATTTTAGCAGTATTGCAGTATCTTAAGCCCAAGAAAATCCAATGTTAACGCATTTGCAAACGGTATGCTTACCATCATAGAAGGACAGAATGCCAGTTCGACAATAAATTGACTTTTCCAAGGATGCATAATAGTTTATGCCTACAAGATGTTCCGGAGACGATGCATGAATCCTCCACAGGCAAGCTACATAACTGAAACAACAGTAGGATTAACCATCACAACGATCGAAATAAACAGGCATTACGTTCATGCAGAGATCTCCTCAAATGCAATCATGTGGATAAATGTTTGGGACGTCCCCTCGTTATTCATTGCATTAATGTGACGATAAACATTAACTCACTAACTAACTCATTGCACTATTTCTTACTTATTGGAGTTCAGTTGGGATGACGGTGGGCCTGATGGCCTTGCTATAGTTTGATTTTACTATTGAATGTAAGTCTTTATTTCATTTCATAATATACAATGCCTTGCACAAAGTGTTTTTTCACATTTAATGATGGAATATCTTGCTTGTCCGGTTTACGCAGACATACACGACTATTTGACTTCATCTGAGTCATATCACTTTTCCAAGTTCTTTGGGTATAGATCATCCTGTGTTATAACCAATGCCGAGCAGATGCTCTATACCCGAGGTGACTGTGGCAGTTCCCGTGCCACCAATAACAAGTGTGATAGGAAACGTGAGAGGATGGATCTTTTGCGACTTGTTTCCATTGCATGCTCTTCGTTATTCAATATCTTATCTCACCTGCTATACGACGTCGGGAATCCCGGAGATGTTACGGTTTCCATAACACCGGAAAGATGGATGTCAGTAAAGCATCTATCTGTATGAAATTAAGATAACACTTTTTTCAGTTGGGTTTAATTACCTTTCCATGTCTACTGCACACAGAAGCATGATTACAACTAACTCTGGAATTCGCATCAGCGACTGGTTGTATCCAAAAGGCTAGGTGATGCAAGCTCGTTCAGCTTGACCTGAGCTACTCTACATATGCATGACCCGGCAGGTCAAATTGCACAAACGGCAGGTCGAGTTAACTTCATTAAATAGGGGAGCAAAGATGGTTATTAATGTTGCGTTCGTGCAAAACATGCATGCATGGATTCGTTACAAAACTTGTCCCGGAAAACAACACTTCTGAAAAAACCCAATCATTTCATGTTTTATTGAGTTGTTTATACAGTCATATGCTATCTAGTTTGGTTTACTAACTTTACAACGTACCGACGTCAGTTATAGTATGACCAGAAATTATTGAGAATTTTAGGAATATGTTTAATTGGATTTCTAGTATAAACAACCTTGACCAGCTATCAAGTGCTTGGTTTCATTCAAGAGAGACAACTCCGTTAATCCTTTTTCATTAGTTTGTGAAGAGTTATCCCCCTTTGTTTACTTGCTAGCAGACGACATTTTCAGTGATCCTCAGTATGGATGATTTAGAGAAGAGGAAGTTGATTTTAGAGTATTATAACAATGACATCAGATCAGCTAAAGTGATTTCAAGTAGAATAGGCATCCATTTGTCCACTGTTTATCGTGTTTTGAATATTGCAAATGAATATGGCACTTGAGCACCAGGGAGGCGCAGGTAGGTCCAGAAAATTGACTGTCGGTGACAGAAGGCAGCTTGGTATTCTAGTTTCTTAAAACAAACGAAGGAGTTTAGAAAACTTAAGGCTGGATATGATTGATAGAGGAACTGTGGGTGTCTGTAAGGAGACAATTAGAGCTGAGCTGCATGCAATGGCTTGGCAGAAAAGTCGAGGAATTCCATCACCGATCATGAAACCTGAACAAAAGGAGCGAAGGTTGAACTAGTGCTTACAGCATAGAAATTTTAACTGGGACAATGTGATTTTCTCAGATGAAAGTTCTCTGTTGCTGTTTCCTAATACACTGAAATTCTGGACCAAACAAACTGAAAAACCTTTGTATCAGCGCCCAAAGTACAGTCCGAAATTTGACGTGTGGGGTGCCATATCTGTGTTAGGGGCAACGCCCCTCTGTGTATTTGAGGGGAATATGAACAGTGAGCGGTACACAGATATTTTCGAGCGACTTTACTTCTATCTGCTCACGTGTTTTTTGGAAATGTTTGAATTTTCCAGGACAACGACCCAAAACATCGTTCAAAGCATTCACAGGCCTGGTTTCGGACCCAAAATATGACATTATTAGATTGGCCAAGCTATAGCCCTGACCTAAATCCAACAGAAAATGTTTGGGGACGTATGAAGGAAAGTGTCAATAAGAAAAATCTGACAAATATTGCTGAAATAAAAGAAGAGGTGGTCCGATATTGGGACAGCATAGACCACGACTTTCAAACTTCTTTGATCAGTAGTATGCCCCGCCGCATTGAAGCCTCCACTGCTGCCCATGGTGACTTGACAAAATACTAACTGTTCACCTGTCTTTGAATCTGGGGTTGTGTTCTACTAATATTCACATTTCAAACGTGAGTAATGAGTGAAAGAAATATAAAAAAATACAATCTTTAAATTCTCAATAATTTCTGGTTGTACTGTACGTTCACAATCCAATTCACTCTCACTGTCACTCTCTACACCCAGTTCAATTATTACGTTTTCTATTTAATGTTCAACTCCAATATGTTCGTAGCTTCATTTTAAGAAAGTTGGGATATTGCTGACGATTTCTCGACACTGAGGTGTGAAACGGCGACCTTGTCTCGGCTGTTCGGACATGTTGACAATCAACTGACAAAGGTGCACCCCTTCACAATAATAGACACAACCAGCTGTGACACGGTCATGCAATTCATTAGTATGCATTTGATCAGGTCAAGCCGAACAAGCCTTAACATCGCCTTTGGGCTAGTTCCCGCTCCGTTCCCCATTGAACGTGATCGGAGACATTTGATAAAGCTGATAAATTGTATCTCGAGGATTTGTGCCACATGTATAAGGGGAGTTATGCACAGCACGGAGGGAGGACCTAGGGCATGTCTTAGTTATTGTCGTATCTACAAATACTGAACTCGTCAAACGGGATAGGATGGTCAGGCTAGCGGACTTTGTTGACACACGCCATCGTATCCAAGCTACGTAGAGCAATATACATGATGTCTGGATTGTTTTGTCCAGGCTTGATTATTTACAGATCGCCATATTGCTGGAATATTGCTGAGTGAGGCGTTAAACAACAAACAAACAAAGTGAAATGTACACCAGTCCGATAGGACTTTGAGAATTCACAATAAACGTTAATTTCGCTTGTCCAAAATACCTCCAGAATAATGCTATAAATACACAACATGGTTGTATTAAGGATCATAAGGTTCAATAACAATTATTAAAAGGTTAATAATCATTACAATCATCCTGTTCTATTACGAACAATGTCACCCTGACACCTATGCATTATCAACAGCCTGATACGTCGATTTACCTGTATAATTGGAAAGTACTGGAGACAGAATACCCAAAAGCAGGAATGCGGTGATTTGTGATGCCATCGTGTGTATCCTCGTCAGCTCTACCCGCCGTATAAATGATATTGAGGTGTTTTCCTCTTCTACAGAGTTGTTCATGGGGCAAAATCTGTCCCATATCGGCCTAGCAAATGTTATCAGCCAACTCAAGTGTTTATTTATAAAGATACTGTGTTCGTGCGATGCATACATGTACTGAAAACAGAAACAGTTGGAAAGGTTAAAAATAACATGACAGTTTTCTGTTAGTGCTAACATTCTTTCGGGGGAAAAACAATGTTATTCATTTTGTTTCATTTTTTCTGGCTCACAGTTTCGGCATCAGTTTCAGATTTCCATCTGAGTCTGGGAAAATGAAAAGAGTAATACGTTGCCGGCAACAACCACATTCAGAACATCGAGACTGACATGAGACTCCCAACGCACCTTATCGATTGCGTAAGAGAGTGAGTATCGCTCGTACGAGAGAGTTATGACTATGACAAATAGTTATTTCGCAATATCACTACCAGTGTCGACAGTTTTATCAGCAGAACGTCCACCTAAATTTCGCAATACATACTGTCACTCTAGTGTCTATTTATTCAGCCAAACAAATGACGTATGAAGACCTCAGGACGGTCCCTGCTCTCATGGCGACAGAGATTGTGATTCACGTACAAGTGTCGCTTATGTCATTCATATACATACCGGTCTGGTGCCAGACGTTCCGGTCACTAGAGGGAAGTGATGTGCAACTCGATCACCTCTCCTTTCCAGGTGAAGTCATCGCCGCATAGCCACTGTCTTGTCGCCAGGCTGTAAAGCTATTGCAATGGCTTCTCCTACCTTACAGTGCCCACAGCAACGCCTTCCCGTGGCGTCCCTGTTTCCACAAAAAAATGCTGTCTTGGCGCAACCGAGTACCCATCGGTATAACTGGGCGGGTGGGCTGAGCCGGCAACCCTGGTTGCGAATCTGCCAAGGAGAAGAAAATCTCTTATTCCAAACCCCGGGTGGATGGGACCCTTGGCAGGCCGTTCATCTAGGACAAGGAACAAGTCTGATGTATAACCCACGAAATGCCTAGGAGTGCTGGATAGACTGGTGGCGCGAGGACCCTGGGTCCATGGACCCTCTAGCATCCAGCATCCGTGCCCCGGCCATAGGACGATGGCTCCGCTGCCTTGTGGACACCCTCAGGAGAAGGAAAGGCTACGGGAGTAAACCCAGAGGGAAATCCTGAAAATCCTAAGGCGGTCAGACGTCAGCTTCTTACTTCTTTCCAGCAGCTCCTTCAGCCAAACCAGTGACAAACGTCGTGCCCTCGACTCCTTTGGAGCCGACTGGCGAGGCCAAGAGGGAGATATTTATGCATGGGCAACACAGCACCTCAATATTTTTCGGTCAGGCTTGCGCCCTGGAGAGGTCACTCCAGCTTTATTTATACAGCGAAGCACCAACACGGGAGACAACATTTCTGTTACGAGTTATAAGTCCACACTCGATTGGATGAGATTACGCCACGGGTTGTCTCCGACGGTGGGAGGGACCATCCAGTCCCACTGGTCAGTTACCGCCCACCTCGAGCTGGGCAGCCCCCAGCCAGTATGGTGCTGACTCGCCAATGTCTGCCTGCTACAACGGGTGCTTGGAGATCAAATGTTTAGGCATGACAAGCAGGCGGAAACATCGCACCAGGCAACTGAAGAAAACCAAAGAAGTTTCCAGCACTTCGTTTTGCAAGCTGGAATTTGAGAAGCATGTGCTCAGGAATCTCAGACGACCTTGCATAGGTATAAGACTCCAGGAAGACTGCTATCATAGACAGGGAGCTTACAAGACTCAACGTGAGCATTGCAGCCCTCCAAGAACCCCTGGTGGATCTCTCAGGGAAGAAAACTACACGTTTTGTTGAAAGGGAAAGAACCCAATGAACCACGAATACACGGAGTTGACTTTACAGTAAAGAACAGCCTTCTGGCTTCAGTGAAGCCCCAACAGGTGGCATAGAACGTATATTGTCAATCCACTTGGCTACAGCTGCAGATTTTGTCAACATCTTCAGCATCAATGCTCCTACTCTAAGTAGTTCAGAAGACATCAAGGACCACTTCTACGATGAGCTCCGTACCCTGCTAACCTGGGTATCAAGCTCATCGTGACACCTCTTCTAGACTAAAGAACTCTTTTCCTGTGTTGAACTCGTAGATTTATTCCATAGTAATAGGAGCTGGACGAAAATCCTGCCACCTTCACAAGCCATCTCTCTCTCTCCCTGGCGGGGGCTGGAATCCCAAGCACATTCGCCATGCTGAGTCAGAGACGGTGGATCGGTCATGTAAGGCGCATGGAAGATGGGTGCATTCCCATGGACCTACTCTACGGCCAACTTGCCACTGGTACAGGACGCCTGGTTCAAGGATGTGTCCAAACGCAACATGAAAGGGTGCATCATTGACCCTAATGCCTGGGAAAGACGACCGTCACCGTTGGCGTCAAATGGTGCAGAGTGGAATCAGACAAGTGGAGGAGGAGAGAACCCAGCCGGCAGCAGAGAAACGACCATGCCGCAAACAGTGAGCAGCCTCTACGTCTTCCCAGTCTTCCTGCTTCGTCTGCACCAACTGCAACAAAGGCTGTCACTCCAGACTTGGGTGGCACAGCCACACCAGGCGCTGTTCACAACCTTAGGGGAAACCTCCGGGACTGCAGTGCCTACGACGGATATATTGTCAAGGATTAGGTTATGACACCTTCACAAGCCATCTCAAGCCATGAGACAGGGGATTCTTTACTTAGAATGTTTAATCCCAAATATAACATATGTTACATTTTATTAATGGCATTGTGTATTCATAACTTTTGGCCGAGAGAACGTTGTCAATTTACATTCATTAGATGGGTACACAAAGTCCGTGGTATGGACTCGCGGTGCCTGAGTAGGTTAGACGGCTGTTGTCTTAAACGAATCTGTTCCGGGTATGGATCTGCTTCATGGAGCGTTCTCGTGGTATCGCCGGAATCATGACTTTTGGTCTTCCCGATCTTAGGTGGTCTTGGATCTGACCTGTTTGCTCATAGCGATTTATCAGTTTGCTGATTATGGCCTGGCTGCAGTTAAAGGTTGTGGCCAGATGCTGCTGTGAAGTCCCAATATTGGCCATCCCCATCGCCCTGTGTCGTTATGGAAGTCTTTGCATATTCGTAGTGTGTTTTTTGTTTTTGTTTTTTTTGGTGTGTGTGTGTGTGTGTGTGTGTGTGTGTGTGTGTGTGTGTGTGTGTGTGTGTGTGTGTGTGTGTGTGTGTGTGTGTGTGTGTGTGTGTGTGTGTGTGTGTGTGTGTGACTACATGCTTCTACATACTACAATCATTTGACCAATGTCCCACAATTGCGTGTTTAACGTTTTGAAAGATGCACGAAGTTTTCAGACAACTTACTTGTTATCGGGACCATGTTGCGTTGTTTTGGTTTTAATACAATTACTTGAATTCCTTTACTCGGTAGTTTATATAAATACCTCTCCGGTAATGCACGCAGTCACAAAAGAAATTACAAGTCAATAAAACAACTGGAATATGATGTTGTGTCGTATAGTTGTAATAAGCTCTACCTACACTTTAGTCATCAACTGAACTCTTTTTGTGTGTGAGGCGATGGGGTAGCCTAGTGGTCAACGCGTCCGCTCGTCATACCGGAGGGTTCGATTCCCCAAATGGAATCAATGTGTGAAGCCCATTTCTGGTATACGAATTGGATTTTATAGTCTAATACATTGGACATAATCAGCAGTATTCGAAATATGTCAATACACTCAAGGCCATTTATGTCACAACATTCCAGTCGGAGTGTTTTATTTGACATATCCTCGATCCTTTGTCCAGATCAAAATACTTGTATGATAATCGGTGATGGAAAATCCTATAATCCTATGGTACCCGCTTTTGTCAAATCTGAGTGTAAACTGTTCCATGAGTTTTTCATTTCATGGTCATACTGACATATAAGTAAGAAATGACAATTAAATAAGTTTAATCTGTTTATACAATATATACAAACTTGATGTTCTTGCAAAATAATGCGAATCCTGTCCAAATTTTTGACCATACAATATAGCAGATTATTACAATTGAATTATGTTTAAGACCGAATCTCACTGTGATTAACTTCTCTTGCATTATGTAATCGCATTCTCTGATGCCATCTTGCCTGATTGTTATCAGAAACGTTTTTGTCGTGAGATAGAGGGTACACGTTACTGGACCCTGCAAACTGAAATGTGAAGTCCTATGAATCGGGTTCCAAGCTAGAATGGACTTAACTTCAGTTGTTATAGAAACTCTATCAGTAGGCGTTTGGCGTAAAAATGTTACACATACAAATATAAAGTAAATGCACCTCAACGTGCACAACTAAACATTATAATTCCGATACACGCAGTAAGGATTTTGCAGTACCCTAAAATTCTACGAAGACTCGAAATGCATTGGCTTATAACTTCATTGCGTCCGATATTGCTCCTAATGTCAGTTACAGAAGCTGACTGGGATCATACTTACAGATCGTCACCATGTCTTCTTGCAACAAAATGCTCACACAAAACACTGATACATGTTACAGTTACTATGCACATTGATCTTCAATACTCTCAGAAACATAAATGCCACAGATGTCAATCAAAATATTGTTTCTGCATTATGAACTAGTCAGAATGGATGTATGTAAATTGTCCTTTCATATCACCATCAAGAAATTGTGGATCACAGGACACAGCCCTTATCAAATAATTTTAAGCATACGGCAGTACAGATTCTCACCGTTTATTTCCAAAATCACAGACAAGATACAAATTAAAATAAAAATATCTTTAGACTCAACTACTAATAGAAAGTTTCAAATCAGTTTCAAGTTAAGTGTCAAGTCAGTTCATAATCAGAATTATTTTACATTGACAAATTGTTACAATTTCAAATTTTCTAATGGATTGGAACAAAGAGGTTGTTGTAACTTGTCGGGTAAGAGAAAGTATACATATGCAAATGGAATTGAACTAAAATATTACAAACGTTATCAATACGTTATTATGCTTGTAGGGGCGGTGGGGTAGCCTAGTGGTGAAAGCGTTCGCTCGTCACGCAGAAGACCCGGGTTCAATTCACCACATGTGTACAATGTGTGAAGCCCATTTCTGGCGTCCTGTTATATCTCCGATACGGAATGGCAGGAACTCGCGCACTACGAATTTGCTCAGCATGTTCGTCACAGCAATTGAAACAACACCGGCGTTACGGCGAAGTCAAGGCACTTCCACCACTCCATTTCGTAGGCATTCGGACCTACCGCTTTTTCCTTTGAATGGTCTTGACCAAATGAACATCAATGTCGAAGGACAGTTCAAAGCTGGCATATCCAGTGCTATTTACTTGCACAACATATTCGGCTCACTCCGTAATGATGGTCGTGCGCGGGTGTATGTCCCTCTGGGGTAGAAAGAATTAGCGAGCTGCTTTCAAGAAGTGCATTCATACGATGCCGGAATATGTCGCAACCAATTGTGGGCACGTACAATCGTCCGGGGCATCCGATAGAGATGATGTTCTTGAACCCGTGGTTTTACAGTCGTACGCCAACGACAAGAAGAACCACCACGACTGCATTATTGCATATATTGCAAGAATGGTCAAAGATTTCGTTTCATAGCATCATGATCACCGGATAGACTTTTTCATCTTCTCCGACCCCACCCGCTAACCATAAACATTGGGATCGTCCTAACTGCCGGAACAGGACGAGTCATCAATTGCACGGAAGGACGAGCCGCAACGAAATCCTATTAACGTCAAAACGAGGCTGCCGACATTGAGGAGGCGTTCATTGGTGCTAGCGGTAGGTATATTCTCTATTAAGGATGACTGGTATCTGTGAACCCAACTCAAACGGACACTCCGTTCATTTTTGTGTGCCTGGAAATTGAAGAATATAAGCACGCCGTGCGCAGGTCATCTGTTGTGAGATACTCGTTGATATAACTCACATAGAATGCACATTTATTGTAACTGTATACTACACATCGCCATCTAAGAAATGTTTGTTTGTTATTTTAAATTAGCTACCACCACGCATGGGTTGATACTTTCCTTTTCCCTACATTTTAAATACAAATCTCTCTGAGGGTATTCAAAATTTGGTTGACGCAGGTTCCATATTGAACGTTGATGGACTGGAGTACGTTGCTGGGGGAATGATTGCGTCCATAGGTCTCTGGTCTGTATTGTTGCTGGCGACCGGTTGACTGCTGGCAGCGGATGATCTCGCCCAAATTCTACATATTGCGCCCAGTACGCTTAATACAACACTTAGACCCCCTAAGGAAGCTCCAACTATAGCTTTCACTCTCCAGGTACTTGTGGGACTTGAAAAGTCTGGAAAGAAGTGTTGCAACGTATAAGGCAATAGTTCATAATAATATTTGTGAGTTTCCCACGATGTTAGTGAGTGAGTGAGTGAGTTATTATTTAAAGTCACATCGGCAATATTGCAGCCATATCGTGACGGGAACATATTTGACTAACGAGGTTAGTAGTTACATAGTTACTAGTGCATATAGTCGCGAATTGTAAACGGTCATATCGAATTCCTAAAAATCAATTTCAGCAAATGAAACGTTTCAGCCAGGTATTTTAATCATGGATAGATGTACATGTTCGTCGGAACTGTTTTGTACATGTTGTTATTTATGAACGTGTTTAGCCGTAACTACGTGAACAAATGCGTGATCAGTTACGCTTTGATGAGAACGTACCAATAAGGTCCATCTCTGCAGAATATGAGATCCTGAAACCTCTGTCGACTGTATGGGAATTCGACTTGAATTTCAGGAACATGAGAGAGCCTGAACTCGTTTTGCTTGGTTCACTGCTTCCACACCAGCGTCCTAGAGAGGGGGCACTGGAGTCTGCGCCTACAGGATTCGAAATACATTCACCAAATAACGTTTTGTTCAAATGTCTTGCAATGCTATAACATTGAATACATGCAGCACGAAATGGCGATGGTCACGTTAGTTTAAAATGAATTGTCCTGCTCACGACAGACTTACAGACTGAGTACACTTTATGAATTCCATTTCAGCACTTATATTATCAATTGGGTAAGAGCCCAGTGTTTGTTTCTTAGGATGTGTTTACTCTTCAGATCTTCCACACACACACGCACGCACGCGCGCACACACACCCATCCGACCAACTTACACGTACATTTATACATTTGTATAAAGAGACCATGACAGAATACCAGACTGAGTACTTCTTAAGAATTCTCTCACTCACTCACTCACTCACACACACGTACATGTATACATTGTTACATGTTACATGTATACACACACGTACATCTATAAACAGATTTTGTGTGAATATATTATAGTAATTGTCAGTGTCACAGCAAAATATAAAAATATTTATCACTGCCGAGCTCGATCGAAAAGTGAGTAGAGCATTCCAGATGTTTTTACGATCATTTTGAAAATCTCCACACCTTGTTGTTTACACGAACGTTGGTGGTTTGACCGTTAGAAACGTTTCTGCGTGGGGCAGGTTCCAGAACGCTCTCCCTCTATATATAAAATCGGGCGCTCGGGTTGGACAGATTCGACCCCTCTATCGACCTCACCTGTATCTATTCAACTAGTTTTGTGCGGTTTGTGTCTGAATCACCGAATATCCACCGAACTTCCAACATTATACTAGATTCAAGAACCGAGGCCTGTTCCAAGACAATGACTGTAATTATGGACATTTCTGTATGGAACTAACATTAATTGCAAAGTGTGCTATTTCACCCTTGGTATTTTTATCAATTCTTAAACATTCACTGTTATGTAACCTATGTACCCGTGTACATTTTCAGATGAACATTAGACTTCTTTTTGTATGATTTTGTTCCGGCTGCCACCGGTAGGGCAGGATACTGTTACACTCTTTTCCTGAACACCTGATGTCACCACATGTCATCGTATCTCGATTACGTAGATCGATGTTCATGCTGTTGATCACAGGACTGTCTTGCCCAGATGGAATATTGCTAAGGGCGACGTTAACAACAAGCCAAAACAAGCAAGTGACAATGTAAATGCAAAGGTGACAGATGACGTTATCTTCACCAAATACGACATGTTCTTTGATGGGCATTTTAGAAGTTGAGTTGATGAAGAATAGTGACAATTATTATGGTTATACAACTTTTTTATTCTGTGGAGGCGACGTTTCGACATAGGTTCTAATGTCGTTGTCAAGCAAGTGATGCTGGACTTCTTTTATTCTGTGGAGGCGACGTTTCGACAAAGGTTCTAATGTCGTTGTCAAGCAAGTGCATCAACGACATACGAACCTATGTCGAAACGTCGCCTCCACAGAATAAAAAAGTTGTATAACCATAATAATTGTCATTATTCTTCAAATACGACATCGTATATAAAACCGAAGGATGTTTGGGCCAAAGACTACCACATGATGTTGCTGTTCTTCATCGTGTTGACAACCTGCAGCCACAGGATATCAACTTGTTCACAACTATACGGACGACGACGTAAGTTGACAAAACTGTGTCTTAGATCATCGTAAGAAACAGGTTGGTCATTCGTTAGAAATGGAACATTGTTACCCGAGAAACTAAGCACCTGTCTTCAACCCGAGATTTGGATGCATTGGACAAGCTTCGTCCTGAACCAGGTTCTCTGTGTCATTTAAAATGGTCGCAACTGTAAATGAATCTCGTTTTCCAATTGAACTTATTATGTGTCTTTTTCGTAAGATGTTGATAACCGTTGATTCACACAATGGGCTTAAAAAGTAATATGATCATTACTGTGTACATAAGACACTTAGCAAATGTGACCTCAAGCAAATGCAAATAGCAATCATACCGTTAAACGCTTCCATGTAGTCACTTTGACAACCATCAGAGTATTCCAGTGTTGAGACGACAACGTTGATGTACACGTGATAACCTGCACCTGCGTCAATCTTCCACGTTGACTCGACATTACTTGAAAGAAGCATGTGAACTTAGGTCAAATTCATTCATCATCAAATTGAACTTGTTGAGAAACAGACTTTTCATGCATATAAGACTCATAGGAATTTCGAAATAAAAATCATTCGTTTCTCGTCTGGTTAAGCCACACGTGTAAAGATGTTTTGCAAGAAGGAATCATGTAATTATGGTGTTATTGTTTGCCATTGCGATCGGTATAGAATACTGGAAATTGTATGTTGATTTACATATGTATTCTTCTTCCTTCGTCTATATTTTCAGCTCTTGCGTTTCAACTTCAGTGGCTTACTATACGCAAATACATACCTCGGGTAATTAAATGGATAATTTGGGGAAGTAATGTATTGGTTCCAATAATCAGCTGACAGACTCTTCTTCACTGAAGCTGAAACATAAATTATAATATTATACATTAATTTTGTTTTGTATCTGTAAGCAGTATCCAGATATTTTGCCACATTTGCTTTTTATTCAATTACTTGTATTAGCGGGATAAGGGGTAGTCCAGTGGTTATAGCGTTCGCTCGTCATGCCACGGACCCGGGTTCAATTCCACACATGGGCACATTGCTGGTGTCCCTTCGCACCGATATTGCTAGAATATTGCTAAAAGCGGTGTAAATCTAAACCCATTCACTCACTCTTTTCCTAGCATAGAGCTATTGACGTCGTGCGCTAACATCGACATATTTGAATATGCAGAAAAAAACAATCGGTGTTATACTTTCCTTTAACTGTCAGAATTCTCTGCTGCTTACGGCATTCCTGTCAGAATCTTACATTACTTAAAATACTGTTCAAAGTGGTGCCAAACCTAGTTCGCTCACGTATTCATGACACTGAACACCCACGTACCACTAAAGTGACCAGCCTTAAGATTCATTTGTAATCCTCTGTTAGCTGCGCGGGTGTGGAACCTGGCGGTGATGACATTTCCGGAGCTGATGAAGTCGACGTTGGAGTCACCACACCATTTCCCGTGGGTTGTTGAAGTGCTGTTGTCGTATTTACCTGAATACAGGTAAATAGAGTGTGTGAGTGAGTAAAAATTAAGTCACATCAGCAGTATTTCAATGATGTCATGACTGAGAAAGGTGTATATTTACATATGAATAAAATAAATTTAAAGAATATACTTACCTGTCTGCAAAGGACAGTAAAATGTAAAACACAGTTATAATGTAAAACTAGCATGAAAATCTAAAACATCTGAACTATGAAAGACAATACAATGTAAACAAGATTGTCACTACGGTGACTTAATTCCCCGCCGCAAATTATGAAATCAAACTTAAAAAGTAATGAAAGTGAAGGTCGTATTTTAAGATGAAGTTTAATGTCAACAAAAACATGACCCGTCAACCTCTCTTGATATCTTGTTCTGTAGTTGTTCAAACGCGTAAATATTTTCAAGACTGACTTTGACCTGGACACGAATGTCTTAGTGTATGTGTGGGCCCTGCGCCTTCCCTAGGTAAAGCTTGGTGTTGAATATGATGAAAATCCAGTGAACGGTTCTTGAGGTATCTCGCTGACAAGCTTAACGTGCAGCTCAACATGCTGAAATCTTCAAAGTGTCGCCATGACCTTGACAATTACGTGAAGGTGACCAAAATCGACTGGGCCTTGCGCCTTCCCTAGGTTAAGCTTGGTGTTGAATATGAAGAAACGCCAGTGAACGGTTCTTCAGATATCTCGCTGACAAGGGTAAAACGTTAAAGTCCCCTTGTGACCTTGAAATGAAGGTCAAGGTCACCAAACCTGACTGGGACCTTTCTTATACTGTGATGAACCTAGGTACTAAATATGAAAAGAATCTAGTCAATAGTTCTTAAGATATTCCAGTTCGTACGCTAAACGCGCGGCGGGGGATAAAAACAGGCTATAGATTGCCAACAACTGAAGGTAGATCACCATACTAGGGACCATGGGAACTTACAGTACATTTGCTTCCTGCATGGACCCTAGCTGGAACAGGAAAAAAGATGTAAGTGCAAATTACAATCTCGTTTACAGGTGACATACGTATCATTAGTCGCGTTTTCGGAGCCGTAATTGCTAGTACCTTGAAGAACATACTTATCAGTGATGCGGCATACTGAGAAACTATCCACACAATTAATCTGACCATCATTTCGATTCATTGGGTCGGCTGGCGTAGAAAGGATAAGTTTACTGTGGACGAATTGAAAAGAATGAAACTCCTTGACGGCAAAGTCTGTTTGAAAGAAATAGGTGTACATGAAATCTCACCATCGTAAATTTCCAGGTAATTGACGCTGCATGACGAGGTAATCCCATTCAAAACAGTCACAGTAACCTGGATGTTTGTGTTTGTCGGGGCACGTATGGTCCAAACGCAGTCTTGGGAACTGAATATATAAAACATTCAGCATTGTTCACGCCCATAAGTATACAGCGATATATGCATCAGTAACATTATTAAACTGTTTGACTGTGACTATGCAAAATTGCAGTTTCTCAAATTGTATTTTTTCTAATGCAAATTCAATCAAACACCATATATACGTGTTGCAAAACTAACTGTTTTATTTTAACTTTTATACAGTGTGGCTAAGATATCATTGAAGCTACGAACTGAACCAATTTAAGGATCGATTCTACCCCAAAAAGCAGCAAACACGAGAACTGACTAATTAGTCCAACACATATATACAATGTCTATAGACGGCGCTGGAGCGTGTGACACATATGTTCCATGTGTCCAGTGAATCTGACGTGTCAATATATTTCAGTATGTCAAACCAAATCACTATATAACGTGAGTAATATGTTCGCGTTTGCAGTAACTTTACGATTTAAACAATTAATACGTGTCCTTACGGTCTGTACGGCACTGTCAAATTCGTTTCCTTATCCGTCGTGATATTGACTGCACCTCCACATCTATCAGTCTCTGAAAGGAATTAACAATTCAACTTCCATGTTATATATTTCAGACGTCGTGAAACCCATAACGAATTTAAGTACAACATGTATTTTAATGTCTTCCACGTGCACGTTTTTGGTTTCTCATAATAAAATTGCAAAACACTCACCGTTAGTTGCAAAATATTTTAGTTCGAAACCTTTCTTATTGTATGTATTGTCTGCATAGAATTCGACCGTTATGGCTGGTCCGCTACTCTGCAGAATCGGTCTTGAACTGCCGCACCAGGAGATAAGAGTAGTATTAAAGATCGAAGGTCCTGCAAAACATTCAGGGAAGTGGACAATGAAAAATGTTTTTCGTTTAATAAAACAGTAGTATGATTATAATGTGTATACATGTTAAGGAGAATATTATATTATAGCATTTAACCGCTCATTAAGAAGATTTATACTGTGATGTTTATGCACCGCACTGAATATATAATTAATGCAGTACTTCCACGTTATTATCTAGATTTTAGAAAATGGATACAGTTGAAAGTCAAGCATTTTCAAGCCACTGTTACGCAACTTTTCCGCCACGAGCTGAAACAGTTTGCATGATTAAAACTGGGATAAAAATAAATCACAACATTTGGTAGCTCCAGATATTCAGAGTAAGATGCTCCTCGTTTAATGTTTCTTAAAAGGTTATGACAACAGTGATATCAACCAGATAACATACATCCGCATGTAACATGATATAAACATATTTGAGAGGGACGCGCCCATGTCCGACGTTGTTTGGATTTATGTTTTCCTCTGAAAATCTCAGGGTTCAAGTAAGTTTTAGCTATGTGGAAATGTTTCTATTCTGTTCCTGATGGCGGCAGGTACTTACCATCGTGGACGCTGACACGACTGCTGAAGCAGAACATTTGAAAAGGACCGTCAGCCTGAATATTTGAGTCAATTACGTCTATCCGCACCGTCATGTTTGGGTCCGAGGCCTTTATTATCCAGATACATTCGGCGTTGCTACAACAAAGAGCGTGTAAATGTGGCACTGTATTGTAGGTTACATGATAAGGAGATTTTGGTGTCTCGGACGGTAGTGCTTCCTGGTCAATGAACATTTCCCCCAAAGTACCTCTGAGTAAAACTGTTTATAAGCTTCACTACTTCGAAATATAGCATGTTAAATTTGGGAAAAAGTATTGACATGCGGTATAAAAAATATCGCAAAATGAAGGAGAACGAACAAGACACTTATGAAAGACAATAAATGCAAAAAAAGTAACAAAACCAGCCTATTTTACATCATTTAAAATATTCAAAGCACAATGCAGTTCATAAATAATTTGTGTATGAACGTTGCACATGTTGTTGATTAGTTTTAAACGGAAAAGGTAACGAAATCTGAACTTACCTTGGAAGTACAGGATATCCTGGGGAACTGAGGAATTTTGGATGTGTGGCTGCAGTGAGATATCTGGGCCCACAATTTTCTGACTGGTAAGGTACCACTGAAACAGTAAATACATTTACATACTATGCAACTTGAAAGTATCGTTATCCAGAAATCACACATCACAATGCTATTGGAGCACGAGACTGTTGAATGTTGCAATATTTCCAGAACGTCCGGCAGTACAAGCAACAGCAGCATCAGAGAAATGATACGCGCCAGTAAGACTGTCTAGACATCTCACAGTCTCAAAGCTGGAAGACGGCCCCACAAGATAATCATGACCTGCACATTTTCCATCTGCTCAGTGACAGCATCAACATCGACACAGTTGGGTCACCGCACCAGCAGGAACATAATGAAGAACCGACTGCGTGCTATGGGCATCCGGACCCGTCGACCATTTCGGGGCATGTCGTGAACCAGTCAACATGGTCTGAATTGTCGACGTTGGCAAGGAACGTCAAGCTGCCAGCGTTGTATCTGAGTACGATATGTGTGGTGTTTTGGCGCACGTACAAAATATTATACTTGCAAGTCACAATCAAAATATTTACGACCGCTTCTTTGTTTTGCAAAATAATAAAAATAACACCAGGTTTGACCTTTTTTACGTATATCAGCTTATTTGCTGGAGCGTGACACTTTTGATATAACTTCTGAACTTACCTCGTCTGTAACTATGAGAAACAACAGCTTGGAATCCCGCCCCGCTGGTATCACTGTTGGACTTGAACACCAGTTTCATGATCATTCCGTTAGAATAGTAGGGACCAACCGGAGAAAGTGATGAATTTCCACAAAACTCGCCAATATGGTGATACTTTCCACGATCCCCTATGATCGAGAGTTTCCCATGAAAATATACTTTTTAGTCAGATCTACTGCCAGAAACATATGTTATAGGACAAACATATACAGTATAGGAGAAACATTTATTATAAGATATACAACGTTAACGGCTGATAATAATTAATCACACTCGTTGGTCCGCTGAAAAACTTTCAATTGGTAGAAAAAGACACGATTATATATGAATCACAAATTACTAGTGAGGACACTAGGTATCAGGAATCATTCAGACACAAAAACAGAAAACGTAACAAATGAGGAAGGCCACGTTTTAAACGTTTTGTTGACCCTTGCAATTAACCAACTTCTCCAGTCGGTGGAATATACGGCATAAACAGTGATATGCACACGTGGGATACATGTGTAAAACCAGCCTGCCACATCAGTTTGTAGGGTCGGGATCTGTCAACTTTGACGACCAGATGTGCAACACATCCTGGTCAGTCATCAATAATTGGTTATAGAGCACTGCAATGTTAGGTTCTGTGAACTACAAGTATGTATATGGTTTGTAAGGTTAAAATCACGACCACGTACCTCCAAAAATGGTTACAGAGTCATTATCGCACAGTGGGTAGTCTCCCTCTAGATCTACATTAACGACATCAAGCTTCAAGTTTGGTGTGTACATCTGGTCGATGATTACTATGACACATTCCAGGTCGCTGAAACAATATAAAGACAACTCAACAGCAATCGAATTGTGTAATCATATATAAGTAAGCATTTGCTTTACCATATATCTAGCATTATACATTACGTCGTAATATGTATACCATGGGGAGACGTTTACAGAACAAATAACCGTGCTTCAAATAAAGGTGTGTCTAAACGTAATGCTTTTGAAAATAACAAGCTGAACATAACCTTTGGTCATTCGTGTGATGAATGATTTTATATAAATTCACAGACAAAACCCCTATCACAGTTAGCATAACCCCATTACTTTTGGATACAATCTTAACCCTAGGATGCTTTGCAAAATTGCCATAACAAACAATCTCCTGTGGAAACATCTATACTGTATATGTGCAAGTGCACTATCTTGCTTCAACATACCTGTCATAGGAATCAGGGTATCCGGGTGACTGGATATAAATAGGAGTGTTACGTATGTAATATGTCCTATTACAGTCCCTTTCTGTAACAAAGATACATCCATGTTAACATCAGATATCCACATTTACAGCCGAAAAATATGAAACTGGCAGAGATATCAAAATTGGTAATATATTTGTAATAAAGATGGTTGAAGAATAAGATACTGTGGATTTAATAAAAATGTGCTTTTGGTGATAGACTACTAAGATCGTATGTGAATTCGACCGCCTTATTTGGTCAAATTATTCGCTTCCTCAGTAACACATTCGTTTTACCAATGGTCTGAGACAAGTATCACTTATTTTCATTTCAAACTGAAGTTATCAGTGGTAATGTTATTGTTTAACGGAATCACAAACATTTAAGCAAAATAAGAGCAAAACCACGTTACCACGACCGCGTATTCTATTTACTAGTTTTCAGTGGTAATCACTGTACGCTGGATTGTTTAGGAAAAGTAGCTACAACCCCTGGTTCAGCGTACCTGGTATTGCTGTATACTCCAGCTGTACACCCTCACTGGTCAATTTCTCAAACACCACCGACAGTGTGTTACCTGAGCTGTAGTATGTCCAATTCACGGTTGAACACAAATCACCAAGAAACTGGCCAGCTGAAGTATAATGTGTTAGTTATATTTATGCTACCGTTGTCGACTTTAACACTCGCACGCATGCACACACACACACACGCACGCACGCACGCGCACGCGCGCATCTCGGAGGATGGGTGGTGATGGTGGGGTACATACCACATATAATGTGCACACGAAATGTGGTGCACATATCTGTTTCTATACTATATGTGATAGGGAAGACCTCATAATCATTCTGATTTTAAGTGGCTCACGCCTGAACCGAACAACATTTCCCTGTTGTTTTTGGTTTTTGTGACCAGCATCTGTACTATCACAACTGACAGAAAATCAAAGATAAAGTCATATCTAAGGTCAAATGCAAAGAATAACCAATCTCGATTGTCCGACGAAACAAATTACATTGAGTGTATAAGAATGAATTTCGAATGAATAACACCGGAATATAATCAGTGAAATCAGTTTACAACGATAGTATGGTCATTAACACATTGTCTTATCCGGCACCTGTCTATTCCGTATTCCGGCACGACTATTCGGTCCCAACAAGCAATTTTAACTGAAATTAACACTGTCTAAACCGGCATGGGTATGAGCAGTCCAATCAAGCAACCATAATCCAATACACTAATTAATCATCTTGGCACGCTAGATAATCAGGAAGTAGTGATTGTGCTGTGAATCAAACGCTCTAAGCCGGCATGGGTATGAGCAGTCCAATCAAGGTCCAATACACTCCACTCGGTTGGTTGGAGCAGGTAAACAGGCAGATGATTAAACAAAGAGGAAAATTGCCTTGTTCATGGACAATGCAACTTCCCATGGCCATGGCGTCGAACTTAGCAATGAGAGATGGACGAGTATAAATGGCAGCCATGTTGGAAAATGATCGTCACTGCCTAATCCGGCACACTGTCAAAACCGGCATTTTATTTCGGTCCCTTGGGGTGCCGGTTTAGACAGGTTTCACTGTAATTGTAATGAGTTTTAAAAATGTTTGTGATTAATTGACTGATTACTACAAGTACTTGCCCCAGGACGTACTGAGAGGCGTTAAAAACGCATATTGGACTTTCTACTCTACGTCCGTTTGAGAGATGTTGCTCTTTCCAAAACCAGAATATGCTGAAAACATATGGTTAAGAAATTCACAGCTCTGACTTTTAGGTTCGAATCCCACGTTTTCAAATCACAGGGACGTGACATCTCAAACGCACCCAAGAGCATGTGCGATGACAAGGCAGTTGGATGAACAGAAAACCATGGTGCACGTGCAATGTGCACACTCAGCTCCCATAAAAGCACAGGTTGAGAAATGGCTGTCATTCACATTCACGATGCCACGGTTGACCAACGCCCAAAGAAACCAAGCAATTGGAATGCTGCATGCTGGCCAAACACAGAGAGTTGTTGCTAATCACTTCCACGTCCACCAGATGACCATTTCGAGGCTCCAGCAACGTCATAGGGCAACAGGACGTGTCCAAGACCATCCACGTCCGGGAGCGCCTCGAGTGACGTCACAAAGGCAAGATCGGTACACCGTCGTTAGCCATCTTCGGAATCGCTTCAGACTGCAAATGCCACGAGAGGACGTTCCATCAGTGACCGGACAGTACGCCGTAGCCTTGCTCCACGTCACATCCGATGTCGTCGACCCTATCGTGGACAGATCCTCACACATGCACATCGCCTAAATCGACAACGTTTGGCGGCTGCTGGAGGCTATCTTGGTGCTAGACAGTGGCGAGATGTCATCTTCACAGATGAATCACGTTTCAACGTCAGTTTACCTGATGGTCGGCTACGTGTCTATCGCCGTAATCATAACGTTTTGCTCAGCCTTGTGTCATTGAGCGTGATCGCTTTGGTGGTGGTAGAGTTATGGTATGGGCAGAATTTTAACGTCAACTTCCGGTCTGACTTGATTGTTCAAGGGAACCTCAACGCCCGACGTTACATTGACAACGTGTTGCAACCAGTGCTTCTGCCATTGGTGGGTCGACACGGACGACATCGCCTCGTGTTCCAACACGACAATGCCAGGCCACATACGGCTAGGATAACACAGGACGTTTTGCATCAGAACAATGTGGATGTCTTGATCTGGCCCTCGCGATCACCTGATTTTAATCCGATCGAACATTTGTGGGATGAACTTGGGCGCCGTTTGAGACGTCAGTTGAATCCTCCCCAAACTGTAGCTAAGTTGACACAAGCTTTGCAGTTTCACTGGAGAGCCATTCCACAAGCTTTGATTCGGAGATTGTGCTTGTCAATGCCTGGCAGACTCCGGGCTTGCATGGTTGCCCAATCGCAAGGACACACACGGTATTGAAATGTGTCATCTGACAGTTGTGTGTTCTCATACCACTTGCTTTGGAGATGCTCGCAAAGACATTGTTGCATCCGTAATCCTCTGTAAACACTACAGTATTGATTACAAGTCATCACAATGACTTTTCCTGTACCGCCATATGTAATTTTTGGACATATGAGAAATATATCTGACATTTCTTCCTCATATGCGTTTTTATTACCTCTCAGTATACAATGGACCACTGTGTACACTTTAAGAATACACAAATGCCTTTATATGCCATGTTGCTTTACCTTCAGTTGTGTTACCGTCATAAACACTAACGACATCATGCATGCACCGAGTTGAAAGAGACCGCAGTTGTTCTTTATTTGTCACTTTGACTGTATCATTTTCGTTTTCCGCTGTTATAATCCATGTGCATTTTTGGTTACTGAAACAAAAGTATAAGCCTTACATGTCGGGTCAACAACAATTGAGCAACAACTTAAACCGTAATCAGAATAAATAGAAGGGAATGTTGCAATCAATTAATTAATCACTAAAGATACCATCGTTCGCCAAAAGCATTTTGCCATCAGCCTTTAAAAGCTGTCAGTGCCGTGTACAGATAACATCTGCATACATAACGGGTACATGGTATTGTAACATTTATACACAGTTTAAATAAAAATTATTATAGAATTATTAGAATTTGTAACAAACCAATATGTGTGACTTACGTAAAGTAGGTGTTATTCAAACCAAGGGATGTAAAGTTTCCTTCCTCAGTTGCCGTTAAGTTCCCGTCACATCCTGCAATGTTCATTGATGTGATTCTTGATTACAGAGCCAGTCTAAGTTTGTAATATGCAGTAAAGGAAATTGAAACTGTTACTACTGTCTGAAATCACTTTTAACAATTTCATCACAGCATTTCAGAGTAAATATGAGCAGATATCCCCACATTACGCGAGCCGTGAATCAATCTGATGAAAGCACCAAGAGTTATGACGGATTCTTAGTCGTTGGTTTGACCGACGTGTGAAACTTAAAATCTCAATTGCGCAAATTGGTGCACCAGGAAGACAATTTTTCATTATTCTGATGCCCCTCCTCGTGGTATACTCACTTTCAACGTCAGTGATGTTTAGCAGAAAAAGTAGTCCATTAGTTACAGCACCGGTAGTAAAATGGATGTACATGGTGGGTCCACCGCTTATGACACTGCCCACATTCGCCATAATGTCATCGCCACACAGCTCCAGCAGTATTTCACTTGAATTATCTGGTCCTGGTCATGAAAATAGTATTCTAATTAGATCAACTCACTTATTTTTAGTTGCCGTCATCACTAGGTTTGAATTTGTTTGAGAGGATGCACTGTATTACCTAATGTAGGCGAGTCAAGCATACATAGAGAATGCATGTATAGGATATTGTCCAAATGTTGGTTTGAGGCTGTTAGTTCGAGACAGACATTCAAATATGGACTAATCTCACATCGACTCGAAGGTGCACAGATACTGCAGGATTGCTTTTGAGTTATCTGTATTTTCGAGTCAACAGGAATCACGAGAGCTTGTTTCTATGCGATAATGTGCATTCAAAATTCCATCTTCAAACGGATCGAGTACGTCATAGTCCCTCTCCCCTGCAAAGATGGATAAACCAAAAAATGGATACTTATTACTCTGATTTCTGGTGACATTGAACGTTCCCAAACACAGCGAAATTACAATGTCATCTCACAAAACTCTTCTCTACTGAGCAATATTTTGCAAAAAACGTATGCTTACCATCATAGAAGGACAAAATGTCACGTTGGCAAAGATACGAATAATCCAAGGATGCAAAATAGTTTATGCCCACAAGATGTTCCGGTGACGATGCATGAATCCTCCATTCGCAAGATATATTACTGAAACAGCACGTAATAGGAATATTCATTATGAGGATGCAAATAAAATGGTATAAGTATCAATAAAAGTCTGCTAAAATTCAGTAAAGTATTGGCAATAAATATGTGAATAAAAACCGAAGTAATGATTTTCACGTCCTGTCGTTAATCATTGTCTTCTTTCTTCCCATTGTATCGATACAGTTTCAGTTGGGCCTGATGGCCTTGCTAAACCTTTTCAAATGAAGGTAAATCTTCATGATATTTGGTAATGTATATTGCCTTGCACATCGTGTTTTTTTCCACGTTATTTCGAACTATTTGACATTTTCACTTCATTTAGACAGACATTTTCGCTTTTTGAAGCAATTGATAATAGTTACCTATTTGTACCGGTTATTTATTTATCAGTACGAAAAACAAACTATCCGTCAGGTGTAGTCTTATTAGTCTCATATTACCTGATCATGCAAATTGCAACCACTTGCTCGACTCGATTTGGGACGATTTGAAAATTTGGAGATCTTGTCCGTGCGTGTATGTGAGTTTGCAGGAGGGCTGGGTGGGTGTGCGGTGGGTTTGGGGGTGGGGTGGGGTGGCTTTGACTACCCTGGAGTAATACCCCAGTCATTTGCTTTACCACTAGGATACCGTCTTTCACGTTCTGTGGGTAGAGAGCATCTGGACAGCCAACGCTTTTCCGAATCGAGCAGATGCTTTACCCCCCTTAGGCCACAGAGACCGTTCCCTTGCCACCAATAACACAGGGAACGTGCAATTAATAAATACATTGCACACTTTACGTTATTGAATATCGTGTTAAGGACCGTTAAGGGCCATACGATTGTAAGTTAGTGAATATCGTGTCTTACGGGCCATACGACGACGGGAATCCCGGAGAAGTTATATTTTCCATAACGCTGGAAAGATGGATATCCGTAAAACATGCATCTGTAAAAGTGAAAAAAATATCAAAATTGAAACAGTTGGTAAATAACCTATCCATGTTTACTGTTCACAGAAGCATTATCTCAATCCTTGAACTAAAAAAATCCACAGCAACCCGGAAGCCTTCACTAATCAGTGAGCATGGACTGTATGGGAGGCCTATGATCGCAACAGGGATGAATCTGGTATTCGCATCAACGGCTGGTGGACCCCAAGGACTAAGGGACGCAAATCGGCACAGACAGTAGCATCGTTTAGGTTCCACTACACTAAATCAGAATCACATGTTCCCTGAGCGACTACTGTGTGTAAACAACTCAAGAGACATGTGACAGCTGTGACTGGATGACATAGTGTGAGATGTTTACGTTTTTTACAAGCACATCCATCCCGTAATTACTGAACACAATTTTAAGTATTTAGTGCTGTCACTCTTATCACCATGACTTACGCTTATGTGTGTGCAGATATTTTCAAGTAGGTGGCATTTGGTGGGGTTGATGTGTTCAGCTTCCTGTGCTCGGAAAGTTAGCCGGACAGGTTGGCCAGAAATTGTGTTTAACTGTAGTTTAAAGGCCAGACTTTACCCATGTGTACATGGACTGGCTGTTGATAGCCTGGATAATTTAAAACAAGCATTGTCACTAAGGTGACATAATCCCCCGCCGCAAATTATCAAATCAAACTTAAAAAGTAATGAAAGTGAAGGTCGTAATTTAAGATGAAGTTAAATGTAATCAAAACCATGACCAGTCAACCTCTCTTGATATCTTGTTCTGTAGTTGTTGAAACGCACGAATATTTTCAAGACTCACTTTGACCTTGACATGAATGTCTTAGTGTATGAAATATGCAAAAATAGTAATAAAGAAATTGCTTATTGAAAACCATTCAAGGGAAGTCTTGAAAGTCTATGAAGAAAATCCAGTGAACTGTTCTTGAGATATCTCGAGACAATCTTAACATGCAGTTTAAGATGCTGAAATCTTCAAAGTAAGTGAAAATTATGTGACGGTCACCAAAATCGACTGAAACTTGCACCTTCCCCAGATAAAGCTTGGTGTCAAATATGGAGAAGGTCCAGTTAATGGTTCTTGAGATATCTCGCTTACAATCTTTACATGCAGGTTAACATGCTGAAATCTTTAAAGTGTCGCTGTGACCTTGACAATTAAGGGACGATCACCGGAATCGACTAGGCCCTGTGGCTTCCCTCGATGAAACTTGATGTCGAATATGAAGAAAATCCAGTGAACCGTTCTTGAGGTATCTCGCTGACAAGCTTAACATGCTGAAATCTTCAGAGTGTCCCCATGACCTTGACAATTAGGTGAAGGTCACCAAGATCGACCAATATCGACTGGGTCCTGCGTCTTCCCTAGATAAAGCTTGGTGTTGAATATGAAGAAAATCCAGTGAACGGTTCTTGAGATATCTTGCTGACAAGGGTAAAACGTTAAAGTCCCTCTGTGACCTTGAAATGAAGGTCAAGGTCACCAAACCTGACTGGACCTTTCTTTTACTGTGATGAACCTAGGTACTAAATATGAAAAGAATCCAGTCAACGGTTCTTAAGATATTCCAATTCGTACGTACGTACGTACGGACGCAGCCTGATACTATAACCCCCGCTTCGCGCTAAACGCGCGGCGGGGATAAAAAATAAGAGGTTACTATAAAAGTCAATTGAAAAACATTTGGTGTTGTGTAACATTTACGACCTGTGACCGCTCTGCGCCGTATATAACGTTAGTGAGGTTGAGGTTGAGGCTGATAAAGTGTCTCCCATGGATTTGTGTCACATGTAATTGGGGAGTTACACACAGGGGGGGGAGGGAGAACCCAGGACCAAGTGTCATTGTCTCGATATCTTATTTCCTAATGTTACGTAGGTGTTAATGTTGAGACAAAACTGAACTTAACAATAACAAATAATATCAAGTCATTTACATAGCGCCTAGTATCCATCTGACTAGTTGCTCACTGGACGCTGTAATCACAAACTGATTATTATTAACCGGATAACCCAAGCTGCCTGACAGGCGTTAGAAGGTTACTAGTCACATGACTTATCTCACAACTTGCTGGCTGAAATGAACACAATCTTATAAAACTTTGAAACAATAAAGAATAATTCCTCTTGTCCCAATTACCTTTAGAATGATAAAAGAAAATACACTACTTTCTTATAATAATTATTGCAAGGTTTCATACTCACGTTCTGTGACGAACGATGTGTACCTGACCTCTAGGCTTTGTCAACAGGCTGCCCTGTCAATATACATGTATGTCTATTTACCTGTATTTGTGCTAAGTACTGGAGACAGAATACCCAAGAGCAGGACTGCAGTGAATTGCGATATCATCGTGTGTATCCTCGTCAGTTCGTCCCAATGTGCAGAACTATTACAGTGTTTGTGTCTTATACGAAATTAGGACGAAAATTGTGACGTATCGGCCTAACAACTGTGGTATGTTATCTGCCAACCCACGTGTTGATAAAGGTACTGCGTTGGGGCGACACGTACGTGTACTGAAAACAGAAACAGGTGGAAACGTTGAACATAACTTGACAGCTTGATTTCTGTTGGACCTTACTTTCCTTCATTCTCTTCCCACAAAGGTTACTTGTCATATATTCCTACGAACCTCTGTTCTAATACGGCCCATTCATTGTGCGAGTATTCAGGATTCGTGATTGGTTGCAATCAGATTTAGTTGTGCAATCAGCGACTTTGTTTCAAAAGTGATCATTCGCAAGGTCTTGGAAATAAAGTGATGCGCAAACGTTTCTTCTAGACAGAACTCAGTCATGTAATAGCGGATCAATGGCGTCTCCATCGCCCACGCTTACAATGGACAAGCTAGCCATTAAATGCCTTGTCTGTCACATCAAAACAAGTCCCCGACAGAGAGGGGATATTTGTGGCCACACATTTGCTTGTATTAGTCAAGTTGGATCTAAGTCGATGTAACACGTGTTCTGATTGGAAGGGAGATAATTCGTGTTGCGATTCTTTTGCCGCTAGGGCATTTTACGACAAGCGAGGAATATGGCTGTATTAGAACAGAGGTTCCTAGGAAGATATGACAAGTAACCTTTGTGGGAAGATAATGACATTCCTTCTGAAAAGAAAACTATATCTATTCCTTTGTGTTTCAGTTTTTCTTACTCAAAGTCTCGGCATCAAATTTTAATTTCTATTTGAGCTTGTTGCTTGTTTCACAGACATTATACAAATAACTAATCGGCAAATATACCAGGAAGGTTTCATCAAAGTGCACAATCAAGCATCAAGTATGCGCACTAAGGATATACAATATCATAGAACCTGGTGATTAGTACAATCAAGCATCAAGTATACGCACTTAGGATATACAATATCATAGAACCTGGTGATTAGTACAATCAAGCATCAAGTATGCGCACTTAGGATATACAATATCATAGAACCTGGTGATTAGTACGTTCAAGCATCAAGTATGCAGCATACCAGCATATGAGTCAGATAAGTGTGCCTGTGTCAGTATCGTCATCATTCGTTGGTTTCACATTACTTTTCAACTCGCTGTGCGCATGCGCAGAGCGTGTGAAAAGTATCCACTGGCGTGCTTCCGGTTTAGGCCGTATGTTTCATCGATAGCGTAAACACTCCAAAGAAAACAAATATCAAAACAAATATATAGTTTTATGTCGAATACAATTATTGATCCCAAATGATTTATGAAACAGAGGCCTGGATTAGTTAAATAAATAGCTAAGTTATGTTAACAAGCTCCACCGTCCTTCCTGCACACCCCCTTCTCACAACTGAACAAACACATCCCTGATGGAATTACAACCAAACTAGGACATCAATTATTGAAAACCATAGGCAAATGGATGTATGTACTCAACTGTGAACAGTTGTCACAACGTAAAAAAATTCATAACAGCTTTTATTTAGCGTGCATTTACACTATCGATAAACTTATGACCAAACCGGAAGCATGACAGTGGATATTTTTCACACGCTCTGAGCATGCGCACAGCGAGTTGAAAAGTAATGTGAAACCAACGAATTGCAGTAGATGTTCTTCAGTGATGCTGCTTATTTTAAAAGCGCAAGAAATCCAGGCCTGTGCCGCAGAGATATCCATGAGTATTTTTAACGCCGCTTATCATGGCGGGGACGTCAGAAATGGGCTTCACACATGGTACCTATATGGGGAATGAATCCCGGATCTTCGGCGTGTAGAGCGAACGCTTCAACCGCTATGCTACCCAACCACCCACCCGCCGCCGAAATCCCTTGAGCTTTATTTATCTTAATTCTTAAGCCAGAGCAGGTTCAGTTATCCAACGACACTGAGCACTGAAATAACTGTTATCGCCTTGAGTGATTACCCGTTTGCGACATAGTTAACGCCTGACTATGTCAAAGGAGTATTACGTGGGCAGCAACAACCACTCTCACAACATTGAGACTGACACGAAACACCCGGCACACTATATGATATGGGTTGAGGTGGGGGCGGTGAGGTCGGACTTTTATTAACTGAACAACATGATAAATACTTATTTCACAATTTTACTGTCAATTTCGAAACGTTTTCGAACAGGGTAGTCCAGTTACATTTCGAATGGCATACAGTCGCTCTACTTACTGTTTATTCTGACAAACAAATGACGCATGAAGACGTGAGTACAGTCCCTGCTCTTATGGCGAGGTATCCTTCACGTACCACATGTATGTGTCGCTTATGTCTTTCATATGCATTGATGTATATCAATATCGCCTTATATTGTTTTTAGTGGTATATTATCATGGTTCTGGATCCGACACCTCTTCTAAAATACTGAACTTATAGATTTTCTTCTGTGTAAAACTCGTAGATTTATTCCATAGCTTATGAAAACGTCAAGTGATCTGTGCCCTACAAGGGACGTAACTCGTGCCACCTCCATATGCATGTGTCAACATTCATCAGCTGATAATATGGTCGGGACGTGGTACCCCCACTGTTTGATGAAGAAACTATGCGTATCTGCCGGCAGTGTTTCAGGATGCATTTCATCAAACGAAGATTCGTATAAGACTCGATGATGTACTTTATGAAAACTAAAACTCAGACTTAAAAACAACATTTGTGTGGAAAATGCTATTGACTGAAACATCTGTTTATCTGCATTGATTTAATCATTATATTGTGATCGTTAATTCCAAATATCTTTACAACACATTTACTAAAATGATTAGAAAATGTTATTTTGTTTCTTTTAATTATGACATAATTAGTCTCTTGGGATATTTTGAAGCCCTTTTGGACTTATTAGGTTCTTTACAATTGGACCTAAACGGGTGATTTATCAGTTACTTCTGTATTGACCTGTACGTTGTGTGTATGTAATTCTAAGATCCCTTGTTGAGAATCAAGGCGACGGTTGTTCTTTTTCTTGTGATATATATTGAGTTACGTCATAGCAAGCTGCCGTCAGAAAACTGTTCAAATCTTTCCTCCCGCACCCATGGCAACGTCATACTTTCATTACTGTCAAGCGAGATGGCTGTCCTTATCAATCCGTAAAATACTTTCTACGAATTGATAGTTTCTTCACATCGAACAGTTGAACGATATTATTCTCTGAAATGTGACTCATTGATGTCAACCCTATTCCGCAGAGTTTCTTCGACCATATTCAAGAAAATAAGAACATGCCAAAGAAGCAATGTGTACTAGGTGGACGTTGGTGTTCTTCAAATTACATGTATGTCGGTCTCCCAAGGGAAAAGGCATTCCATAGTGAGTTTCATACGTCTAAAGAATACACTCATGTCGTTGTTCAACGATTCTGGTTTTACTTGTTACTAAATGAAGAGAGTACGTGGTGTAGTGGATAGAGCGGCTGTGTTTCCCAGTTCGATCCTGTGGCCGCGATATACTTTAAAGACGGTAGTTGGTTTTACCTAGCCAGGCGGATGGCAATAATGAGATAACACTAGGGATTGGTGTAAGGTTTTTTAAGTCACACCGTAGGAACGCGTACGCCTGGACATCGTTACGCACCAGGAAGTGAACGAGTTGCTATGCTAACGGTGAGTTTGTTTCATGCATTCAGTGTAGCATTTTGTGTAAAAAAAACAAATTATTTCAGACATTTGAGATATTATATTTCAGGCTGTAAAAATATAGACATCTCTAAAGGTGTAGGTGAAAGAACGCCATATAAGCTCTTAATCCGAACCTCTGCTGCCAACATTTCCCGCATCAGCTTGACCTAACGGAGGCAACATATGATTAGTTTCCGTTTTTATTACAATTCATGAGAATATTTTACAAAAATGTATATACCATACAATATTTAAACAAACTTGCTGAATATTAGCACTTAATATTGTGAAATAAGGAAATTATAAGACTTTTTATATGCCTGGTATCAAAACCTAGTGAACGCCTTACGCCAAGGGGTGGTGAACGTGTTACAGTGACCTCTGCATTTTGAGAGTGTACGAATTACGCCACTAGGTAAATATGTTTTACAGCCCAATACTGCGTATTTTTCAGCCCTGATGGTTAATATCAGATCACGTGAACACTGCTCAGCAACGACAGACGGTACTTCACACATTAATGTGACATTTACACGCTGAAATTCAGCTAAAGCTGTCTTGATCCTATCGATATTCAAACTCCGCTTTGTTTGGACGTTTCGGTTGCTCAATTCCATACAAATTGAGGAGTTCATCCCATATGATATCCCACAATTTCTGTGAAAACTTTATTCTCAACATGGTTGACGTGGCCTCAGTGTAGCATATGAACAAAAGTTTTGTACAACCAAGAACAAGAACTTGCGCCACATAGTACTTTTGCAGGAAATACATTTGCTGAATAGTAAATTTCTTGTCGGGGTAGGGGCATTTGATTTCAATACCCAAAACTGCTTTATCTTTGTGACTTTTCCGAATAGACCCGTCGAGACTCACAACTAGGAAGCGCTTCTCGTTGTGTTGAACACCCCTCCTCAATGAAGGATAGATGTGGATAATATATTGGCATTACTACACCAACTGTTGTTGCACAAGCATCCTGCCCGTGGTCTGTACCGTATTGCAAACGTTTTTTGTCTGAAAGTGGAATCTCCACCTTTGATGAACGGTTGATAACTCTATCGAAGTGTTGGATCTTTGACTTCAGCGTGTCCAAGCCAATCGCTTTACAGACGGTACTGCCTGTAGCTTTTGCTTTCTCCCGTTCTGAAAACCACTTCTGTGAGCTTTGCAAAAGGATATGCTGCTCAATACCCGTTGAACCCTTTTTGAAAGTGTGCAGGGATTCATCAGCATTTATGCAAACAGTCTAGGTCAACTTTTGATCCAGAACAGTAAAGATGAGAAGCTCCTTGCATGTTTGCACACATTCCTCCAATTTGTGAACTCGTGTTCAAGCAATTGGTAAATGCATTCATTGA